ATTTATGATTATTCTCTCTCTATAGATCAAAAAGTAGACATGTACTGCAAGATCCTCAGAAAATGAAAAAAAATTTTTAAGGAAATATCTGTGTAAATGAAGTAAAAGCAAATGGATTTTTTAAATCTGAATGATTAACATTTCTTAAACGTTTTTTTTATTTATTTTTTTTAGAGAGATTCTAGTTTATGCAAACCACCTAAAGGTTCTCAGTTAGATAAAGTACTAGGTAGTTTCCTGGCTATTGGAAACTGAGATCTTTGACCATACTTGCTCAATGGCAATATTTTAAACCCATTCCAATTATTGTGGCAAAATTGTGAGTAAGCCCACTTCCTTGGATAGGAAGCAAACCCCACACATTTTTCTCAGGGGGGCTTAGAGTCAGGGCTCGTTGCATTCACCTGGAAAGTCTGCATTATCTTTTCTCTGTCAAAAATAGTCTAAATATGGCTCCTTAAACAAAAAAATCAAAGGTTATTCCAGTTCAGTCGTAGGCTTGTAAATCCTACAGTATCATGTGGTTCTTCAGGTTTTTCTTTGAGAGGGGAAATTCTGTTTCAATTCCTTGCTTATTGCATAGAGGCAGATGAGTTTTACAAAATGAAGTGACAAATATCGATAAAAATGTGTTTTGAGAAAATAACTTGACCTGCTCTACCTCCTATGTCACTCCCCAAGAGTGTAAATAATCATTTTAAACTCCTGCAGTGATATTATATGTCTGTGAATTGCTTTAAGAACCAGAATGTATTGGTTCTGGTTTGCAGCCACATAAAAGTAATAACTACTGCTTCCTTCTTTTTAGAACCACCAGCGGCTTTGATAGAAATTGGCAGGAATGGGTTGAACACCGCTGCCCAGAGGTGGTTCTTCATTTTTTTCCCTTTCTATAAACACCAGAAAATGTTTGTCTCTGATCTTTTCATTGATTGTTCCTCAGTTTAACTGCACCGTCGTTGTGTTTATTAAAGAGTCTGGAAGAATGGAACATCATGCAACACAAAGCATTTGTCATTTTCTTCTACATCCACTTCAAAGCAGCAGAGGATCTTAAACATGACAGCATCCCTTTCAGCAAGACATCCACCAATAACAAGCTTTCATCATACAGCAGAACTGGCAGTGAAGAAAAATCAAGTGCACAGAGATCAGCCATGACATCTGCAGATGGTAAACTTTGAAATCTCACCCACAGTAAAACTGTTTTTACACAACTATTCAAACCATTTTTCTGAATTTTAGAAGAGATCCTAGTTGTGTTTATTGCAGCTATCAGGGCAGTCAATGGTTTCAAAATGACTGTAGAAATGCATGCTTCTGATAAGTAAGAAATGGAGATAAAAGAGACCCCTATGTTCTAAAGTTCCCGAGATGACGGATGATTAAGAAATAAACTCTTCTGTTGTGAAGGCATGACTACCCTTTTTGGTCTTTCCCAGAGGATTATTTAGTCATACCAGTTGTGTTCAAGAGGCTTCCTAACATTTTGAAGCTTTTTTATGGTATCTCTGCACTTGGTGTTTGTTATATAACCTCTTTTTGCAATAGAGCACATATTAATTTCATCCAGTGAGATTCTTATTGTTGCTGGAGCCACATTATTGATGGATCCCCAAAGACAAAAATAAATGTATTTTTTTTTATCTGGATGATTACTGGGTATACTGAAGTTCAACAATTAAAAGATGCAATTTTTTTTATTTAAAAATACCATGGTTCAATTTTAGCTATAATTACAATAAGTTTTATTTATAATTATAGCAAATAAGCTTGAAATAAAAGCAAAATAAAGTCATAGATTATGTTTATTCAATCTCTTTACAGATGGAAAGTCTAAGAGCTCAGAGGAGAGTAATAAAGCAATATCAGGTGGCCTCCTGGCAGGCATCATCATGATGATAGTACTGTTAGTGGCTGTTCTCATGTCTGTCTTCATGTACAATCATCCCACCTCCAGTTCCAGTCTCTTTCTCCTAGAGGTCAGTATACATCAGCAAAAATGTTTTTGTCTTACATCACAAACCACATACCCAAATAAAAAAATCACAAAATCGAGGGCATTTTTTTTCTCCTTATAGTCAGAATTCAGTTTAGTTTTAACCTCCATCAAACACTTTTAGTTCCTGACATAGCTTTTTGTTTAAGTATGGAGTTACTAATATATTTAACTTCAGAAATACATGTAGGAACAGAACTTTTTTTTTTATCAAAAACCTAAAGTTTACAGGTGAAAGCATCAATATCTCATGAAAAATACCTAAATCTATAAAGAAAAAAAAAAAAAAAACTTAATGCTCTAGATGCATAAAAGCAGGTAGACATTAAGATTTAGTTACATGAAAAAGGTGAGTCCAAAAAGCATTGACATAAGCACATCTGTTAAAATGTTTTTTTCTTGCAATATGTAGGCGAGCAGCTTCTCTCGATAGAATGCAGCAGCTGGATACATGGGGAAAATAAAGCCATTCAGATGGGTTTTAGATAATTAAGCTGATACTGGAATTACTCATCATAGGTTTTTGAATTCAAAATAACATGTCATAAGCATTTTCCATACAGATAAATGCTATGAAAATATGTTCTGTAAAGAAAATAAATTTAAATAAATTTTAAATAAATATATTTGCCACAGAGTGTCCAACCCACTGGCCAATCCTGAGGTTCAAACAGGGCTCCAATTAACCATCCTACACTGAGCTGTAAGATCTGTTAGGCTTCAGGGCACAGCTGCTTCTCTGTGTAACATCCATTTTCTGTTGCAGATAATTGACACATTCACTTTAGGCAGAAATGGTATTCAAAGACTTAAAAAGTCAGTGAAGATGCCTAATAAGCCTAAAAAAGTCCTTAAAAGTAAGGGCAAGAAACTCTTGGTTTTCTTCTAATCAGGGTCTTTATTTTTTTCATCGAAGGCCTGCAGGGAGCAGGAGGCGATCCTGCTAAACATTTCCAAAACATTCCCCTGAAAGATGGCCTTAATTTTCCAGAGTTGTCTCGTCCACACCTACCTTACAAAGAGGAATGTCCTGTTTGAGTGTCATATCTTGATCTTTAAAAAGCAGACAACATTCCTTGTCTGCCTGAGACATCATCTGTCCTCTGGCAGGCAATAACCTGTGATCTTTAAAGCCCAGTTATTTTTTTTTTTAACAGCAATTCCACAAAGCAGTAGGTGCTTGCAGCTTTTCAATTTTATTATTTTACACTTAAAAGGAACAAAACATTTTCTTATTGCATTGCTGTACATAATCCATGCTACAATATACATAAGATGGAAATACAACAATTAAAGATTAGCTCTCGTTTCAAAATCTCAAATGTAATGGATATAGTTTTTAACACCATGCCACATTTGCTGTTGTGTCTGTCATTTGTGTTTTAATATACATTTTGCCTTTCTTGTATAGTATTGTTTTTAATTTGGCATTCACATATTTCACATATATTGCTTTATAAAAGAAAATCTATAAAATGATTTAACATAAAATCTTTATGCTGCTTTGATTTTAAGATTGTTCATGTATCTCTGCTTTTATTTAATTTTCTTTGGTGGGTTAGTTGTGTGTAATCAGGTAGGTCACTGTCAGTGGACTGCATAAAACCTTTGATTACTGATCTTAAAATGCAGTCGTTTTACTTACTGCATACTGCTGGTCATAAAAAAACTATTGTTTTAATTTTTGGTAAAATGACTTCTGAGGCCAAAATTGTAATTTGTATTCCTTAGGTGAATCTTGAATCTCATTGTTTGTGAGGTTTCTGTTAAAAGTTTGTTATCCTTCATTCAAATATTGGCATCACCTAAAAAGAAAAATGGGAAGTGCTATTTTAGTTTCCACTCTTTGAATGTCCAAGATTGTTGCAACTGGCTCTATGCCCAACTTCAATACTTCCTGAACTTCACCCAGCCTTTGTTTCCTGTCTTTCATTACTGGACAGCTTGATTAATCCGGGTGTGTCTGGCAAATGTCGTCATGGTTACTGAGATTTGTCCAGACTGGTCAGTTCGTCTGTCCATAATTAAAGACAGGAAACAAAGAGCCAAATTGTGGTCTGCAAGGAGGACTGGGTGCATAAATGGAAGTTCCACATATGCGTTGCACACATTCACAAGACACACCTCAGCAACAAGGCATTGCATGTTATTGACAGCTTGTTGCAGTGTTTATCACAAAAATTCATAACTTAAAGCTCTCAAAATTTAAGTCAATTTAAAAATTTTCTTTGGTCTATTAACCTTGAGCCCAGCTAGCCCTGTACTGGGCCCAACTGACACCTGCTCATGTTTATCTATTTATAGAAATGGCCAAAACACAGTCACATGGTGTTTCATTCACACGCCTTTCAAATGGGGCTGTAAAATTTCTAAAACATGTTTCAAAATTATTTTTTCACAAATATTTTATGTTGTATAGCTGTGTGAACAAATAAAATGAGATTTAAAATTCCACCTGGCATGTGTGACTCTGTGGGATTAATGCAACAGCAGGTATTCATTTTTACCCCCATCCCCTTATAGCCAGCATCATCGGAAACTAGAGGCTCAGACCTTTCCAAGGAGGGGTTGGAGGTAATTGTGTGACCACTTTAGGTGATGTAGCCGGCATGCATTACATAAGCTTACTCTGTTATTCTTATTTTCTATTCAGTTTGTTGATATTATTATTACATTTCAATGAGACAACGGCTAAATCTGGGGAGCAAAGGCTTTGCTGGTCTCCAATAATGTAAATCAGCATATTGGTCTGGCCAGATTCCCTCTTATGAGTGGAAAAATGCATTTTTGCACTGTGTCAATATCACATTTCCACTAAAACATTTGTGGGACAAACATGCTTATACTTGTTAAGTCCAAATGTGCTTGAGGTATAGTCAAAATGGGGATCTAAAAAGTCTGAGGGTTCATTCAGATTTTCAAATGGGGTTTCATGGTGTTTTGCAGTGTTTATTTTGAAAAAAAAAATGGTGAGGCTCAATATTTTTCATTTTTTTCTTTGTTTAATCACCTATAAATCAGACATGGTGACATTTAAAATAGTGGTTCCACCTGACAAATATTCCACAATGCCTTTCTGTCGTACAAATACAAAAATTTGTATTCCCAATGTATAGTTTGGAAGCTGTACTTGCTTTAATTCACATATGTAAATTCAGGCGAATTAGCTCCTAAGAACCTCAGGGCTTAAAGTAGCCTTGATATAATAATTCATCATTACAGGGTAAAAAGGTTAACTCAACAGCACACTTTAATTCACCTGTTCATGCAGCAGTATTAAAGCATATAATGTACATGTTTACCGTTTATCTTATAGACAATCTTAAACGTTTGATCTCTGGCAGCCGGTGATCATGGCAACAGTCGGGGCCAAAGCTTGGACTGTTACTGAGGTGATGACAGCTTCCTGTTCAGGTAGTGCGGGCAAACGCTATATCAAAAGGTGAGGGTGCAGTTATACTGTACCCTACAGCTGTGAGAGCGCTTAACAGCAAGCGGGGGTGAGTAGGAGTGGTAGCCACTTCAGGACGTAGTGGAGTTGGGCATATAGGCCATGAACTCAGTTTAAGACAATTCTCTGTAACATGGGAGGCTGAATAATGTTAATGAAATCCAAATGTCACGTATTGAATTAAAAAAATCTTGAAAAACTTAAAACACATTACTACAAGAGGTGAAAATAACTGTCATGAAGTGCTCTGCAATAAACTCCAGAAACCACGGCAACGGCTCAGTACAAGACAACTGTTCTGACAGAATGATCACATTTCCCTCTTGACTCATGAGGAAAACCTCCTCTTTTTCTCGCCAATGTTTGCCAATCAGCATCGAGCAGCCAGCTTCACGAGCCACCCCTGCTCCATAGACCTTCTAAGAGGTTTGATGATCTTCAAAATTTTTGCCCCCCTAGTACTCGATGAGAAATCGCCACTGGCCTCCTTTCAGCAAGTTGATCACTAATAAGAACAAAAGATGAGGAAAGAACAACACAGCAGTACTCTATAGCTGTTGTGGCTGGAAAAAACTCCAACACTTTGCCTCCTTAATTAATGTTGACAATTTGTCTTCTGATTGGAAAGTTTCAACAATCACTATTTATTGAGTTTGATAACTATAAGTTGTGGCACAATTTTTATTTTTAACCTATGCTTTATCATTTATACGTTTAACATTTGCATCAATCTTGGAATTAAAAGACATTTTCATAGACAAGTTTACAAAGGTAAATAAAACTTTGGACCCAGTTTCTTCCCATAGTGTTGCTCCATATTCCTTAAAGGCAGCTGGTGTTTGAATATATAAGATTGGTCTGTTGATTGCAGTTGAATAGTTGAAGGCACTGCTGTTAAACAGGTGGAAAACTGGTCATTTATCTTCTTTGCCTTCTAAAAAGGAAGAGACAAAACATGCAGTTTGAATTCAGAAGAATCATGGAACATTAGTTGGTGTCTAACTCTGACATTTTGAATCATTCGACTCAGACAGGTAAATCTAGGACGTAAGAAAAAGCACATACATCCATAAAGCAGCATATATGCACCGCAATCTCACAATGTTTCTCATATAAACAGAATTATGAAACTACAATGCATACAATCATACATTAATCCAACATATGCCCGAATCAAGAAATACAAATTTAAATATAAACTTTTATTTAGAAACCTTGCTAATTTTTTTCCCTTGCAAACCTCTTATAGATTACATCGCTTCATACAGGGTAGAATTAAATTCTTAATAGAACTTAAAAGTTGTGCAACATCAAAAAAATGCTGCAAAACTTGTTTTGAACTTTTTATGTTACTTTTCTGTTCAAGCTTTGGAGTTTGTCCTTCAAAGTGTCAAATCAGACTTTTTTTTAGTTGTTGGTGTAATTCCTGCGCACATGCATCACTAAAGTTCTTCCAGTATAGATATGGAAATTATGCCACATGCATGGTACAATAAAAAGAGGGACATTTTCCTGCTACTTGTCAAGTCATACTTTGATATTTCTTTATTCAGGAACTATTTGTTTATTTTGGTTGAGGGTACCTAGATCAACAGTGGGCTGACATTTTGTACAGTATAACGTTATGTTTGCTCAAATATAAAATAAGATGGAGTGCAAATGCAAACTTACCTTTTACTGGTGGTGCTGGTAATCTTCTTCTCTGATGTTTTGAAGAGTCAAGTGTCACAGACTGCCAGAACAAAATATATAGAAACAAAGTTTAGTCTTTCAACAGCAACATCTCTCTGACATTTGCATTTTTCTTTTTTATGACACCGTAGGTAACCTTATCTGTGGTTCCCCTGGTCTTAGTGAAACAACACTGAGTGTCCACATTGAGGCCAGCGCTCCTAAGAGCAGCAATTCTTGCAGAAATGTCACATATCTAAATGAGAAAGGAGAAAATTCTGACAAGCATAGGTGTATTCGGCCATTTTAAAATCTATCATTTAGCATCAAATTGGTTCCGTCCACCCTTTATCGGTGTTTGGATCCAGTAATCAACAATACATTTAGTACATATGGCAGTTCTGGGCTAAAGCATTCCTCTGTTCTCTTTATAAACTCACCTGTTGCTCAGACTGCTGAACCTTGGCGGCTGCTGCTGCCACCTGCTCCTCCAGATAGGATAGCTCCATATCTGATGTGGAGCTGCTAATTTCTTTGGCACACTCCTCCAGGTCACCCAGCTCTGCCTCTAGGCTGTACACAGAACCAGCTGCTACATAAACCTGCACAAAGACAGAACCCTTAATGATAATCTATCTATCTATCTATCTATCTATCTATCTATCTATCTATCTATCTATCTATCTATCTATCTATCTATCTATCTATCTATCTATCTATCTATCTATCTATCTATCTATCTATCTATCTATCTATCTATCTATCTATCTATCTATCTATCTATCTATCTATCTATCTATCTATCTATCTATCATCTATCTATCTATCTATCTATCTATCTATCTATCTATCTATCTATCTATCTATCTATCTATCTATCTATCTATCTATCTATCTATCTATCTATCTATCTATCTATCTATCTATTCATCTATCTATCTATCATCTATCTATCTATCTATCTATCTATCTATATATATGTTTTGGTAAAATAAGTTGAAGGTATACATGTTGATTTGAATAAAGAGCATTATTTAATATTTAGTCCACATTTTAACTTAAAGCCTAATATATATCACATGCTTCACATAACTGAACAATAAACAAACAACAAAATTCTTTTTACTTTTTTTGTTTTTACGAGGTCAAAAAGTCTTTGAGAACTGGAATGTGGGATAAGGGAAAGCTTTTCTCACATTTTCCTCAAGTTTCCAGAACTGTTGGTCCAGCTTCTTGGGGTCAGTGTTTGGGAGCAGTGTTATTGTAGAGGTTTTGTCTTGACCCTCCACTTCCTGGAGCAGGTCCTCGGTTGCATTCAGCACCTTCAGCACCTCAGTGGTGATGCCGCGTAGAGACGCTGCAGAGTATCTCTACAGTGCAAAAACAGGTTATTTTGATTCATTAATGTCGGGGAAAATGTATAAATTCATAACTTGAATAAAGCACTGGATAGATTTTTTTTCTTCTATTTTCTTTAGATAATTAAGCTGCTACTGGAATTACTCATCATAGGCTTTTGAATTCTAAATAACTTGTCATAAGCATTTTCCATACAGATAGATACAGCCGCTTTTCTTCTCTTGCATATATTCATCTGATTACTTTTAGTCTTTACTTTTAGATATTGAACTAATGAGAAGACTGCCAGATAGGCACCGGCCCCACCGGCCCCACCGCGATCCTGACAGGACTAAGCAGGACAAGATGGAAGGAAGGGGGATTAAAAAAAATATACAAGACAAGAAACCTTATGTTTTTATATTGGAAAGTTTTTCTTTACCAATAGTTGAATTTTTGTGGAGATAATTTATTCTAGCTTTATGTATCCTGGTTTTATATTCTGTTTTAACATAAGCTCACCTGCTCCAACAGAGATGACATTAGCTCTATGGTTTTGTAAAGCTCCACAGCCCTACCCTATGGTTAGTATAAAGCAGAGACAGAAAGAGGATTAGAAAGCACATAGAGAGGAAACAAGAGTGAGATGTCAGTTGAGCAGAAAAAACAATCATCTTTAAAGTAATATTATCATATGCAGTATGACAGATGTAGTATGACGTAGTTCAACATTTGCTGAACATCACTGAAATCAGCGTTAAATAGATGTATTTCATTTCAAACTTAGCAACTCAGCAATAAGTTCAAAATTTGGCTTAGCAGGTCAGAAGGTCGGACAAAGAGAGAGAAAGCATGCAGCATGAAAAAACAAAGTTCATTATTCTATTTATTTGGTAGAAGTTGGCAGGTATAATTGTGCAGAATTAGTTTGTTTTTTTCTGACGTAAGTATAAATATATGCCAATTGTATTGCATCTATTTTGTATTGTACAACGAAGGAACTATTACAATCTGAAGAGTTTTTACTTCAGTTAATGTTAAGTTATCAGAATTTAAGGGATACATCATTTCAGTAATAAAAACTGTAGTCTCACCATTCTAAAATTTGGTGTGACTTAACAAGATGTCACTTAATATTCTACACAGCAACATTTAAACGAGGAGTTCAAACAATACTTCTTTCAAGACTGATAAAAACTTATGACCTATTTAAGTCCTTTTCAACATGTAAACAACAGCATCAAATACTATTGTTGGTGTGGTGGAACGTTTTCATTTTAATACAAAATCAGAGACAGACTGGCAGCACCATATTTCGATATTCCACATAAGGGAATAAAAAAATAAGTAAAAATAGAAATTATGTTCAGGTTATTATTAAAATTTGCACTTTTATTGTTAGTCAACAACAACAATAATGTATAGTGCATGCCAATTTAGTTTAGACTAGTTTAGTTTTAAAGGCATGGAAAGAATTCAAGAAAATATAAATATATATATATATATATATATATATATATATATATATATATATATATATATATATATATATATATATATATACCGTATATATATATATATATATATATATATATATATATATATATATATATATATATATATATATATATATATATATATATATATATATATATATATATATATATATATATATATATATATATCAAAGTGGTTACATTTCATGGAGAGTGAACTTGCAAAGTATAGAGCCTACTTTTTCATTTTCTCCCCAGCTAATGGAAAAGTAGATGCCAGAAACAGCTGCTGTACTCACGTTCTGGATTTCCTCTGGTGAAAGCAGCTCCCCTAGATGAGCATAGGTGCTGCTCTCATCTATATTTCCTTCTGTTTCTTCTTTCTTAACTTGCCCACCTCTCTCTTTCTGCTGATAGTTTCTTGCATCTGTTTTCTCCTCGGCTGTGTTTCTTTGTTCATCCTGGTTCTCAATATCCTCTTCGTTTTTTGGACTTTCCAGCTTGGTTACATTTATTTGGGGTTCTTTAATGGTTGTCTTATCTCCACAGTTTTCTTCATCAGCGTTTTCAAGTCTACCTGTATTTTTACCTTTCCGCTGTTTATCAAAAGTCTCCCTATGGGTTTTCTCAAATACTTTTATCAATGACTCTGATCTCTCGCCTGTCTGCTCTGTAGCATCTTTCTTCTCATTGAGTCCCCTCTCTCCCTCTCTGTTGTCATTCTGCGTCCTTCTTTGTTCGGTCGGTCCAGCCTTGTCCAACATTCCTACCTGCATGTCCTCCATTGTCATCATCAACAGGCTGCTGATTATGTTGTGAAATTCTACATTGTCCTCCTTGGTTTTTGTGTCTGGTTTTATCTTTCTCTCACTCTCTTTGCTTTCTTTAGGAAACTCATTATCAACCCTTGTATCTGTCCTCTTTGCACCAGGTTCATTCTCTTCAGATTTTGCCTGCTGTAAATCTTCTGTGCTTTCTGTTTTTAATGGGATCTCCTTTCTTTCGACTGACTCTTTAAAGATTTCCCTGTATTTATTGTATAATTGCCCCATTCCAGTTGTTTCATTTCCTTTTACTCCCTTACTTTTCTGTTTGCCAGCTGGAACATCCTCAAACTTTAGCTGACACTTTTCCCTCCCACTCCACCGTTGCTCCCTTTCTTTAGTTCCATCTGTCCAATCAAACATCTCCATGTCTATGTCTCCAATCGATTCCTGTTTTCCTTCATTATCTTCCAGTCTGTCCAGCTCATCCTCAGTGGAGGAAAATTGGGAGGCGCTTACTAAACTGGCTAAATCCCGCAGCTGAGTTTTCTCTGGTTGTGCCCTCCACAGCTCGTTTTCATCCACTCTATCCTTCTCTCCTTTTTCCCCCTCATCCAGCTCGTCCTCAGTGGATGAGTACTGGCTAGCATTGACTTCATAAGCTAATCTACATAATTTAATAGCCAGATCTTCCTCTTTCCAATTATCTTCTTCCCTGTTATTCTCTTCTAAACCTATCCTGTCCAGTTCATCCTCAGTGGATGAGAACTGAGTTGCTCTGACTTCTTTTTCCAGCTGACACAGCCTAAAGGCTATTCTCTCTGTCTGTACATGCTTATGTCCTTCTTTAGTTATATCTGTTTCTCTGCTCGATTCTTCCTCACTTTGTCCCACTCCATCTGGCTCATCTTCAGTAGAGGAAAAGTATGCAAGGCTGTCCTGAGAAAGAAAACTGTATAATCTGTGTTTGACCTCCTCCTCCTCACCATCATTCTCTTCTTCACCTGCTCTTCCTTCTTTCCGGTCAAAATTCATCTCATACTCATTTTTTTGTTTTCTGCCTGACTGCGATCCATCATTACTTGTATCTATTTCCTCGTCTTGTTCTTTTTCGCCAAGCCCAAACTCATAAACACTCCCTGGGCCTTTGTGCCGTTTGGTGGTGAATTTACTGACAGTCTGGTTGACGGTCTTTTCAGTGATATCAATTTTGGAATTAAAAGGATCAGGAGTTTTAGTTGCAGAGGAATGTGAATAAAAACGGCCTTTGTTGTTTAGATCCTGAAAATATATAAAATGACACAGTTAAAAATACAAAGCTGTGAAAGTATTTTTCGTCAATCACAGTCAAAAGCTTCATTAGCTTTAAATTTTATATTAATACACAGAAATGCACTTTTTATGTTACATACAATAATCAGAAACCTGGAAGCTTGATTTATTGTTAAATAACCAAACTCTGATTTAGACTTCTCCATAACTAAGTCTTATATGTTTACTGCGAGCCCTCGTCATGGGTCTCTGTTCTTCTCTCTATTGGTTGTCTGCATTGGATTTTACTAATGAGGATCAGAGTAAACAGAACTAAAAAGAAATGCAAATCAATACCAACACTTTTCCTGTTTTTATTTGTAAATCACCTTATAGTTTGTTTTATTCTACAACATTAAAACCTGATGGGACTAAAAGGTATGCATACTAGGTTTGCTTTATACTGCTCTTTAAAAAACACTCCTGCTCTGCCTAAATAAAAGTAATACGTCAGCAGTGATTTAATGAATTTAACGTTAATCGGTCTCCGCCAAGTGACGTCAATTGTTTACCTCGGGCGCGGTACACTATGCCTTTTCCACTTAAAATGGCGTCTTAGCAACAAATGTCACGTGACTGGCGGAGACCGATTTTCCTAAATCCGCCCCTGTTTTCAGGCTTATGTTAACTGTAATGACTTATCTTGGACAGGCTGCTATGTAAACAGGCCTTTAGTCCTTCGTTTAGCTATGCTGCGGTTGTTTACACTACACCTTTTCCAACTAAAATGGCGTCTTAGCAACAAAAGTCACGTGACTGGCGGAGACCGATCAGTAAAAAAAAAAGAAAAAAAAAGGAATCATTTTCATTCCGATCACTAAGGGCCGGATTTATCAAGATCCAATTTTGCGTGCAGTAATTTGCGCTCGCAAACTGGAATTTTGCGCGAGGGGCTGAACCATGGTTTGCGGGTGATTTAACAAGAGCGATTGCGTAACTGCTGGCAGGTGCAAAACTGTTGGAGACGCCCTATTTAAATGATGGTTTTGCGCGTTTGGTGGTTTGCGGCATGGCGAGTTTGGACAGCAGAAGGCGCAAAAGGAAATTCGACCCCATGGAAATGGAGGTATTGGTGGATGAAGCCAACAAACATTTAAGTGAACTACAGCAAAAAAGTGTGACTGTCACACAGAGGAATGATATATGTGAACAAATCTGTAATAAAGTAAACGCTGTTGGTGAAACCTTGCGAACAGTGGATGAAGTAAAAAGAAGATACCAGGATATTAGAAGGCGAACCAAAGAAAAACTGGCATATAACAAAACATCTGCGAACAAAGCAGGAGGGGGCACAGTAGATGAGATGCCTCTGACCAGCATTGAGGAACAAATACAGCTGACGCTCTGTGAGGAGCAAATCACTGGAATTGCAGCTCCAAAATGGCAATGCTGGATAAACGAAATGTTTTGATGATCGTTTCCTCGTTCATTCCAAAAGTATTCACACGGAGTGAAAAAAAGCGTTCTCTGCGTCTCCTTGCTTCATTTCGATGTCTCCTTCTTGCGGCAATAACCGCTGCCATGTGTGCGCAATTACGCATACAGACCATTTGCACCTTCTTTTGAAACGTGTTAAATATAGAGTCAGATACCGTTAGCAAAATTGCTTTCAGGTTTGATAAATCACTTTGCGAGTGCTAAATTAATATATTTACATGTTCTCCTCCCACAAGACGCACTTTTGCGTGTAAACGCCCCATATTGCATATTCATTGCAGAAAAAGTACTAAATGGATAAGAGGCGCTATTTAGCACATTTTAAAGACCAAATCCTTTTAGCACGCTGTTGATAGATCAGTTTGTACATTTTTTAGCGTGCGCAGTGAAATAGCTCACGTTTTTATACACGCAAACCTTTGATAGATCCGGCCCTAAGTCTGGGACCGGCCATTTGTGTCCAAATATAGTAACACCTCACTTGTGACATCCAGCGCCATTCTCCCCGCTTTACAAACAAAATCAATGGGAACTACGAGACACATCTGCAATCAACAACAATTATTTTAGATTTCGGGAGGACTTCACCATTGAAATTTGCGAGAGCTATAGTTTAAGTGACAATGCCCACATGCATGGCAGTTGGATGTTGTAATACATCTGGTGAAAGTGAAAAAAAAAAAAAAATTGTTATTTCACCTTTCCACCACAGGCTTGTCATGGGATTGCCAACTTCAAGAGAGAGGATTTGCCATTGAAGTTCTAGCCAGAGAAAAAATACGTAATATGTAGCCCAAATTTCACAGAAGACTGTTTTCAAGATGACTTGATAAAAGCACGTTGTGACTAACACCAAATAGAGCATTGGGACTTGCTCAACAGCCGATACCACACCGTGACAACACAAACTGCTAGGTGGAAGTTGTGTTCTACAGTATGACAAAATTCCAATTAAATTAATCTTAATTAAAAACAATTATCATTTATTAAACAGAATGTAATCCTTGCAGTTCAATTCAGTTTATTTATATAGCGCCAATTCACAACACATGTCATCTCAAGGCACTTTACAGTTCACCAGATCATACAGTCAAATTGGTTAAAAGTTTTCTATCTAAGGAAAACCAGCTGATTGCATTGACTCATTAACTCAAAGACAATCCCTCACACTAAGCATGCTTGTAGCGACAGTGGAGAGGAAAAACTCCCTTTTAACAGGAAGAAACCTCCAGCAAAACCAGGCTCAGTGTGAGCGGCCATCTGCCGAGGCCGACTGGGGTTCAAGGAGACAAAAGCAGAGATACAAAGAGGCGGCTCCGTCCAGCTAACACACAGCCAAGCAGACGAACTCTGAGCCAACTCCTACGTCAGAGGATGAAGAGAGCACATCCAGCCAGTCACAGTCAGAGAAACAGGACTACACTGAAAAACAGGCCGATCTCCAACATCTACAAACAGAGGTGTTCATGGCAGCTGCACAGCTGATACTGCTGATACTTTCATATTTAAAATACTTTCAGAAGTTTGAATTCTGAAAATAACCAGACTTTTCCTTTAATAAATAGCTTTTAGTTTTCATCCTTATTTAGCAGCATAAATACAAATAAAAAATAACTAGTTATTAGTTCAAAATTAACCTCAAAATGTATGGTTTTAAAAAATATTTGATTAGATAAGTTGAATAAAATATTAAAATAATCAGCAGTAATCTCTCTGTATTCAAAAGCGTGATTGTGTCATTAGTTTGTCATTGAATCTGTTTCCCTTCTTACCGATGCTGAAGAACACGCTGCTGCTTCTTTTTTACACTCTCGCTTCTTCTGAACTTTTCTTGTTTTTCCCTCCTCTTCATCATCAGATATCTTGAAATCATCCACCTCTGTTTCTGCTTGTTTCTGGTTAAAGTCTACATCGATGATGCTTGTCCTACGGGATGAAGTAGGTTTCCTGAACTCTGCAGGCCCCTTCCGTTTTAGGAGAGCTATTAAAGCTTTGCTTTGCCTCCGGTTCCCCTCAGAGTCCGAAAACGGATCATCTCTTGCTACCTGCTGGTCGGTCAGAGCCATGATGCTGTCACCATGATCATGCTGGATGGAGCTGTCACCCATCATCTTCCTGTGGATCTCCTGTAGGACAGCACCCCAGGAGCTGTCTGGCTCTGGTTTGCTTTCATTGTCAGAGCCTAGGCTTTCATAGGCAGAGATCACTCCGGACTCTCTCTCCAGGGCACTGTAGACCAGACTCTTTCTCTTAGTGAGGAGGCTGGGCCGGGACAGCTGGGTGCTCTGCAGGGCAATCCAGTTCCCGTCTGGGCTTTTCAGTACTGAAGACAAACATTTGCAAACAAGTTCCAGTAGATGCACACAGGCAAGTATTGTGCAGACAAGTAGTCTTAGCCGATTTTTCAAAAAAAAAAAATATCAGCACTCTCAGATCTCGGACTTTAAATATGAAAACAATGAATCAGTTATAGCTGGACAAAATGAGTTTTAGATTGATGAATGGTATACTGCTTCTCTAAGACACTGGGACAGAGTATAAAGTTGGAAGATGGTACATTTTTCTATTCTCTATATTTCCTTTTCTTTCTTTTCAGACCAAATGAATACTTACACCAAATTATAACCTTATTTTAATCAGAAAAAAAAGTCACTATTCTATCTGGATGCACAAAGTCACTATGAAAAAAAGCCTCCTCTTACCAGAATTGTCTAGTTGATCTACACTCTTCCAAGCTGTCATGGCTGACGCGCCGCCCTCTTTCTTTAAATGCGTAGGTAAGTCTAGTTTAGGAGCTAGTGGGTTGTTATCCAGCAGAGTGAAGGCTGAATGGGATCTCTGAGGAGAGGAGGAAGATACTCAAAGCAAATGTCCAAATGCAAAACACAATTCTTTAGTGAATCTGTTCATTATCGCACTGAAGGAGTTTGTTTCACCAGCAGAGGTCCCTGTAAGCTAACAAGCTCATAAGAGGTCATTGAAATAAAACAAATACAACTTCTCTTGAAATACAAATACAGCTATAAAAGGGGAAAAAAAATGATATCTTTGTAATATTCTATAATATATATTCTATAATATAAGTTACATGAGATTTGTTTATTGCTGAGTTATAAAAAAAAACAATCAAAACCTGCATAAAAATAAAGGCCAAAGCTTCTCCAAATGAATAAAAAAGAAAGAGGAGCGTCACACAGGGGAGGATTTACCATTAGGCAATACTTGGCAGTTACTTAAGGCCCCAAGTTCCTGGGGGCCCCATAAAACTCTGTTTACATGAATGGTTAATACAGCTATTCCTTATTTGTGCACAATAATTATGTTTTTGACAAAAATCCTGTCACTAAAAAGCCATCAGAACTCTTAGAATTGTTGGGATCCTCAGGCTTGCCCACCAGAGGGTGCCGAGGATCCTCTTCTGCTCTCTTTGTCTTTCCCTTAGGGCTGGAGTCACTGTCAAGGTTCTGGAGATTACCCTCTGCCTCCAGCAGAGTGCGCCGTGGGTCCTCCTGAGCTGAACCTCCCACACACCTGTGGCTGATCTACTAATCAGGAGGACCACAGTATATAAGCTGACTTCAGACCTTGATTCCACGCCGCAGTGTTGATCTTAGTTGGTTAGCGTCCTGAGCCTCTGTGACTGAAGAATCTTGGTTATCTCTAGATTGAGATCACATTCTAATCTCTCCTTTATCTGTGCCTCACAGGATTCCTGTCCCTTCGTAAAGCTCTGGACGAGCTTAACCTCCTGTCTCCTCGTAAAGCTCTGGATGAGCTTACCCTCCTGTTTCCTCGTAAGCTCTGGAAGAGCAACTTCACTGGAACCCTGTCTCTGGTCTGCAGCTCAGGGAGAGCAGCATCCCAGGAAACCAGTCTCAAGCCTGAAGCTCTTGGAAGGTCTAACCGGCTAATCTACCCTGGTGAGCCAACCCGAAGATTTCTACATGGATGAAACCTGACGACTTCTCTGAGGAGTTTCCCGAGAGGTTCCTATGTGGATTTCCCCTGTTGTTCCCTACGGTGAGCTGGAAGCTCAGCCTGAAAGACCCTCCGTGTTTTCCCCTGTTGTTCTCTGCAGTGAGCTGGAAGCTCCAACCCAGGACTGCCAGACTAACCCTAAGCTAGAAGCTTAGCCACACCTGAACTCAGCTACCAGCCTTCTTCCCTTCCTTGCACAGTCCCCAGTGAACCAGCTCCCTGCCTGAACTGTTCCCTTTCCATGACTCATGTTTGTGCCACAATAAAGTCTTTTGGACTTTTTACCCAGTGTCTCCGTGGTGTTCTGCATACTTGGGTCACTTTAGAGAATCCATCATGACAAGAATATTATGTGTGTCTCAGCCACCCCCCCCCCCCCCCCCCCCCCGTTGTCTAACACTGGATCAGTCCATTTGCTGCACATGTACAGAAAGGTCCAAACAGACACCAAACCATCTGAAAACGGTTCGAAGAGCAGTGTTGACTACTTAGCACTTTTGTTGCTATATTAAGTGACTTTTCAGAACCCTCTAGCGATTTTTTTTTTTTTTTTTTTTTTTTTTAACCGCCAAATCTAGAAACTTTCTTCTACTGGTGAAGACTTTGGCGACAACATATAAAAGCTACTGATCTCCTCTATCTTGTCTGCAGTCATGATTAATGCAGCTATTATTGCATACAAATGAAAAATGGAGAACAGATAAGCAGATCTTGGCTTGCCTACAGTGAAAAGAAGGACGGTGTTCATTTACTTTTGCCATCACCTATTTGGAAACACAGGAAGGAGAAATCAGTTAAGTGAGATTAGTGATTGGAAAAAATCTTTCATTCCATTTGAGACAGCATGAAAAGTTAGCTGAGAACAAAATATACATAGAAAGGAAAACGCCAAGAAACAGGACAAGAAGAGAGGGACAAAACATAGAACAATTGATGTAAGTCTATTCTATTAAAATATCTGTATCTTTATAGTGGGTCACCTTTGGTGGCCACTGGTAGCTACCTATGACTGCTATAAATATTCTCCATTTTAGGCCTTTCACATAATAAATAAAAAAACAAAAAACAAACCCACTAAGACATTCAAATATTTGAGCTGGAAATTACAATGTTTTTTTTTCCACAACAACATTTTTTTCTTTTTTTCTTACCCAGATATTTGCTTGTTGTGCCAGAGATCGAGAGGACTGATCGTAGGCAGACTGTTGATGATGATGGTCAGCGATGTGTTCAGAAACCCAGCCAGGGTCATATTCTGCTCTCATCTGAGCCAAAACATTTCTCCTGCTAATGATCTGACACAAAACAGAAAAAAGGATTAGCTGTACAAATAGCTATGATTAGAGCTGCAAATGAACCCCATATTTTTATCATGTAAATGAAGCATACATTTAACCCTCCTGGTGTCGATTTTAATGTACTTTTCATAAACTTAATGTACGAGGTAATTAAAATGTAATTATATGCACATTCTATAATTATATAGAACATCTGCATCAAGCTCCTTTTACTTTTTGCACAATGGTTTGGGCCAGTTCCTGGATGAGCTCTCCTCTGTGCTCCCGCAGATAAATTGCTTCATTCTGACTCTCCTGAGAAGAAACAAACACAATAAGGAAAGCTATAGAGCACAGAGTAAGCTGATTACCTCTCTATATGGATACACTAAACATACATTTTTGCTGTGCTAAGTTTAGAAGCTTAGGGATTCCTACAGAGATTAGTGTTATGGGAAAGTGAACAAGGGATGCACTTAACTCACAGTCAGTCTAAACAATATCTTACAGTAAGTATGCATAAGAGGACTGAGGACTTAAACGTTTTCTAGAGATTCTACAATGACAAGTGAGAGTTTTTATCTTAGTAAAAGGTGTTTCATTCAAGACTCAATCTGATATATTCAGGCCTGATATATTCAGGCTCCTCTTTTTAATGCATTATATTTCCTATTGATGTTTACCATCAAATAACATCCTTCTGCTTTTTCAATGGTTCAAAGTTTCCTCAAACAGTCAGTAAAATGGGTTTTTTCCAAAAAAAGAACAAATAACTTTGCATATAAATGACCAAATACTTTTGCAAAGCACTGTTATTTTGGATTCCAGTAGTCTTCTAAAATTGAATAACAGTAACTGAATTCATCTAATAGAACAAATTCTGACTAATTACTTTGTGGTATCAAATTGTAAATTTAACAGCATTGTAATCCTGATTGCTTCAATTGATCTGATCCAAGCTGACTCAGACGGCAAGCAGACACATCATATTATAGATGGCTTTACAGGAAAACTGCCGTTTATGCCAATATGTTTGAATTATTAGTCTACAAAACATTATTTTTACATGGGTTGAATGCAGTGACTGATTTAATTGTAATTAAAAATTTTTAGGATCAGTTTCAGTACCGTAGCCTAAAACAAATAAAGAAGGACGAAAGGTAAAAGAAGGTAAAAGGAAAGAAAAATCAAAATAACCTCTGAAATGGTGTCAAACTCAGCCTTGGAAATGGCGTCGTCTATAGCCTCCTCTGCAACCCGCAGGGCCACACTGAGCGTCTCTGCCACGCTATGCTCTGAATACAGACAGCACACACTCTGGGGCTTAATCATTTCAAAATGAATAAAAGATGTGAGTAAAATGTTGTCAGTGTATCTCAGTTTAATTCTTACTTCACTCTCATACCTGAAACCCTGGAAAAAATTGGTATCGCCACAGGGTAATGGTGACTTTTTATTTTAGTTTGCAAGCACTATTAATGCAGAAAACTGGCAGGGTGGGGGAAAGTAGGGACATAATGCACTAAGCTGGCATTTCTCTGTGATACTGCTAAAAATCTTTGAAAAATATCAGAACTAAAACCCTTTAATGTCTCTGCAATGTCATCACTGGAATGGGTGTATAAAGTTTTTAAATTTTATAGCTTCATAACTTCATAATTAATAATATCTAATGAAAATCCCCCCAAACTTCTTAAATAAAAATGCTAATTAAATGCTTATTTATTTAAATAAAACTATACTCCTCCGATCTATCTCTAATTAAACACAGATTATTTTTTATTCTGCTTATTTATTTTTGCTTGAAAAATCTATTTAGAAAATCTGTTCTAGAAATAATGACAATTTTTTTTGACAACTGTATTGAATCAAAACAAAATTTAGGTGGCAAGACTGTAATTAGACATGTAAGTTTTCACTCAGAATATACCATCATTTCCATTCTTCTGCTACTATTAAAGCTGAAGTCTGTAAGTTTTTAAAAATCACTTTTTTGTCATATTGGCTAAAACTGTCCCTATGCCCAGACAGCAGTACATGTGATATGTAACCTGTGAAAAAATCTGCTTCAATTGGTCCCGCCTACTGCCTGTATTTCAATCTGGAAAAAATAATTCGGGACGAGTCAAAACAACCAATCACAGCCAGAGGAGCGTCTGATGGAGTGTCAATCACAGCTCACACACACTGAATCCCGCCCCGCAGATGCTGTGAGAGGGGTGGAGCTTGGAGGTGGGGCATGAGTGAAGCAGAGAGGGTGGGGGAGTGGCGTGAAACCTGTTTTTCTTCAAATTTTCAGTCGAAGTCTGCTCTCTTCTCAATGTTACAGACTTCAGCTTTAATGTGAAACTTGATTGAAGAAATTCCAAATGGGTCAAAAATAAAATGAATGCATCCACTATCTAAAGAGAATCACAAAATCAGAAAGTAAGATGCCCCATTTTTTCTGAATGTAGCTGCAACTGACCTTCAGTCTTTAACCTTCATTTCTAAAATCAATATTAAAATCAAGCTTGATTATACATTAAACTATTTTTGCACCTTCAGTTTGCTGGTAGAATGTTGAGTCACTCCCATAGACACTGCCGTCAGTGAAGAGGCTCTCATCACAGGCACTGCCTTCTGCAGAAACATAAAGATGTGGACAGGTATTAAGCGAAGAGTGTAGAGTGGGCAAACATTATACTCAAGTAAGAAAAGTACTACTTTGATATATTTCCATCTTAGAGAAGCACTAAGTAGGCATCCAAAAAGTTGTTCAAGTAAGAATAAGATATATTCAGTAAAATGGCTACTTAGTAGTAATCATAATAACAAAATCCAAAACATGAAGATTGTTGAAAACATGTTGGTTTGTCATTCAGTGAAATAACTATATATGTAGGCTGTGTTTACAGAAATTGTACCTAAGTAAGAGTGGCAAATTAACTTTCAAATATTAATCAAATAGAAGTTAAAGGTACCGGTATGCTGCAGCAAAACTAGTATTACAGCATTTTTTTACACAACTAAATGTTACTTAGTAAACATCAAACAGAACTCAGCAGAGATTTAATTCAAAACCACATCACACTAAACCTTTAGATCAAATTGAGGATTAAGATTATTGAAGTATTCATTTACTTAAAGCGATAGTTCGGTATTTTTGACATGAATCTCTATGGCATCCCCATCACCAGCGGCATGCAATCACACTGACTTACCCCTGGCAGCGTCCTGTGAGCAGAGTTATCGTCCAGTTTTGGTCAAGCCAAAAGTAGTCCGGCAGGTTTTTAGGAACAGCGAAATAAAACTTTTCGCCCAACAACAGCCATGTCTCCCTCCGCGGCAGAAGGAGACATGGCTGTTGTTGGGCTCGCTGTCTGAATGACGGCGCGCACTGATACGAACAGAGAGAAAATAGGACCAATTGATAACAACGTGTGACTTTTTCCCACTACAATCTTTTTGGGATGCAAAAATATCGCTCTTTTGAACACATAATGTTTTGGGAAGAGAAAAGTTTTATTTCGCTGTTCCTAAAAACCTGCCGGACTACTTTTGGCTTGACCAAAACTGGACGATAACTCTGCTCACAGGACGCTGCCAGGGGTAAGTCAGTGTGATTGCATGCCACTGGTGATGGGGATGCCATAGAGATTCATGTCAAAAATACCGAACTATCCCTTTAAAACTTAACATGTCATATCACAGGGTATAATAACACATCTGTCCAAATGAACCAAAGTGTTTTTGCAAAAGTATTTCAAAATATTTTCCCATTTTGTCACATTATAGCCTCATTAGGATGTTATGTCATAGGATATTGGTGTGGTTTAGCAACATGGAAGCCATTGTTGAAAGTAAGTCACAGGAAGTCCTGTTTAGAGTTTTCTGCAAGTTATGTAGGGGAGAGAGAAAATAGGAAAAATGTGCCTCAGTTCCCTGAGAAATATGCTGTTGGCCAGAGGTGGAAATTAGGGACATGCAATTAATTGCTTTTGCATTATAATCACAATTTAACAAAAAGCATTTTTTAATTCTCAGAGACAACTAAATTTTGAATTGAACAGGAGTAAAACACAAAATGTATCACTCTACTAACTCACTCTATTAAGGTGGCAGTTATACGCTTAAAGTGGTTTTGTCTCCACACAAAAGGGAAGAGAGAGTGGCAGCTGGCAATCCATGTATGCAAGAAGTAAAGACTTTTTCCACACAGAGGCTACAGTAAAATCCAACAAGAATGGACTCTGGTAAAGCAAGTCATGAAAAAACTACCACCCCAGTTTGAAGCATCTACGTGGTTGTGGTTAGTGCAGAGTAAAATCACATTTGCAATATTTATCATGATCTTGGTGCTGATGACTGGCTTGATTTTTCATTCCATTCACCTGCCTTGCTCTGCCCAGTTTCTCATCATGGCTCATCTGTCTTACCTGCTGTAGTCTCTATGCTGATGAAGGTTCCCAGTCATCCAGGTCATAGTCATTCCGTAAAAGTTCAAAAAATCCACTGGACTTGGTTTCCAAGATTTGAAGACGTTTCGCCACCTCTCCAGGAAGCTTTCTCAATTCAAATGTCTGGATCCGCAATGAGTTTGAGTCTTTATATAGACAAGGCCTTGTATTGCTTGGAAGTCTTAAATAGTCTCTATTTAATCTGCCTGCTTCCATTCATCAGTTTAGAGAGTAGCAGTGTTTTCTGATTGCTTGATCCTGACCCATTCTTCTTTTGGACCTCTGAGCCAGACTGTTCCTGTTCTGATCTGTTTGCCTGACCTGTCTTTGGACTCCTGTTGGATTCTGCCTGTTGACAAAACCTGGATCTGCTTCCTGACACCTACTTCCTGGATTTCTTTTCGGCATCTCTTTGTTTCTCTGATCTTCTGGCCCAGTCTCCTGTGAACCTCTTTGACACTGGCTTTGGCTTAACCCTATGGATTTTCCTGCCTTCCTTCGTCTGCTTGGATCTGATCTCCTGCCAGTTCTGCTGTCTTTAAGATTTAGGTGTCTGGAACTCTCTGGGCACAGTTCACCGCGTCTTGATGCCAGCCATCTGGCTGGAATCCACTTCTTCCTCTGGGCACGGATTGAACTTTAAGACCAGGTTAGTGGTGGTCAGTTTCGTAATCATCTTCGCCAGATTATCTTAGTCACTAACCTGTGTTTTCCTCCTGCAGAGGTTCCTACCTTAGACGCCCTAGCTGCTCCCTGCGGATCCGTCAATTTTAAATACACAGCCTTTGAAATTTCTTTCTTTCCTTTGTTCTGAGCCTTGACAATATTGGATGAAAATAATTGCAAATTTGATATTTTGATATTTGACAAAATAACCTCTGTAAAAAATCTGTTTTATCATGGTAAGGAGTTGTATCGTTTTTTTGGGATCAGGATACAATGTTTTCAGATATCACACAGTATGTCAAGATACTGTACGATTCCATTCAGTTCAGTTCACATCTCTGTGAGCAATATGATGTGATGTTAACCCTTCTAACAGTTATATGCATTGATATCAAGACAAAAAATACAACTCAAATATGTGACCATTTTGTGGCTAAGCATTTACAGGTAGCAGGCAATTAAGTTAAAAATGACATTCTCTATTTCTAAAAAATTAAATAATATAAATAAGCTCACCTGTTCACTTCGCTGTGTGCCTTGTGAATTTAATAATTCATGTGGTGCAATGTATTGTTACACCTCTGGTGCTGCCGTAACCAAGTGAGCTGGCAGGGATAATTGTCTAAAAATGGAATCAGTATAAGTGGGTTGAAACTGGAAATGACTTGAGACTGGGACAGAGGTTTTCTCTGTAGCAGGGCGATGACTCTAAATGCCCAGCCAGAGCGTCTGTTCAAATCCAAAGCATCAAAAGGTGTTTTGAAACATTATTAGGAGAACCTCAATTTATGTACTTTGGCTTTTCCCCCTTTATTGTTTGTTTTCAATTTGCACACATGCTTCTCATATTTGACGAAAAACAGAAAAAAGGATAAACTTGCTAAGCTAAAACACTAAAATAGATGAAGTAGAAAACAATAATTGTACAGCAGAGTGTAATCACAATTTAGTGTTTCCTCATCTAAGCCGTTTTTTCACATCTTGCAACTATTCCTCCAACAATGCAACCAGTTGTGATTATATAAGTGCATTAAAGAGGCCCTGCATGAGGTATTACATGAAAACCTGAGCTGCCTGCGACAGACTCTTATTAGAAAGTACAGTGTGGTGCACATGGATGCTTCCAATTAATTTAAAAGGCATAGACAGTGATTCAGCTTAGTGGTGATAATTCACTATATAAAAAATGCAAGATCTAAATTTTCCTTCCTTCCCTATAATCTCTCTGATGTGGAATTAAGAAAATAAAGGATCTATACTGTATTTTTGTTTATTTTGTAGTAAATTATAATGATTGTGATGTCATTCAGCCCCAGCCCATAGAGATGACACAACTGTATGAGCTACACTGCTGCCAAAAATGACTGCAGCCCTGAATCTACTAGTATATAACCATAGCCTAAATAGGCAGTTTCTTATTAAGATTCTGATCTTAATATACTATACGTGCCATATAAGCTGTAGCCGTAGTGAAGATTTATATTTATAATCCTTAAAATAAATAAACTATTCACTGCAATGGAAAACTCTCTCATTAATAAAAATAAATAAACACTTTAAGTAGTGAGTTTTGGAGATCTGTTCCCAACCCTAAACATGCCCCTTACTGTGTGGAGTACCAATATAAACCTGGGTGCTCTTGTTGTCTAGTTTCTCGGATCTAGTTTTTAAATATTGCTCTAAAGCTAGGCATAGACAAGTTCAGTTAGTAGTTTGAGCAGCTACATTTTTGCAGCTATTTTCTGGTTTATGAGGATCAGCACCATGTGCCTTATTTTAATGGCATGTTTTGTTGCCCTTCCTAATTCGAAGAACGGCTTAGCGAAATGGACTACTGTGACATGAACTGTGACATCTCAATGGCAGCAGTTCTTATATGGTTTGAAAAACCAAATAAGTCTTGCATAGCATTATGCACAAGCTTAAAATAATTATGTTTAAAGTAGCACCAAATATGTAAAGTTAACAGCTAGTTTTCTCTGGAGTGGCTGAAGAAGGACAAGGCAAGCAGTGTACTACCTCTGGCTCTTTGCACAAAGAAGGGCAAGGGTGGCTTCTAGGCTCCGTTTGGGAGATGGCAGTTTGTGGCTGTGATGTGGGCTATGTTCGGAGCAGCAAGTAAGGGACGAGTAAAGTGCTAATGCTTGCTGCAGTTTGCATCTTAAAAGGGGAAGACACTCTGTGGCAACTCTGTGGCCCTTGGCAGTGTTGAATCAGGCAGCATTCCTGGCTTTCTTATTATACATACCCATCATCAGGGGAGTGAGTAGAGGTGCTTTTGGCCTGCTCAGTCTATGATGGAAGGTCAAGCAGATGGCCTCTTGCATGGCCAAAGCAAATCTTGTCCACCTTGATTCAGTAAATGTTCAACAATGAGGACTTTTGCATCTCCAATTCTTCCCTGCTAATCCAATAACAGAGGCAATTTCGCTACAATAGGCATACTTGAACAAGGAGACAATTACCTGCCAGCTCATCTGCAAACAAACTGTTCTGCATGTTTTTTTTTTAGGAAGGAATGATAAAAGAGTAGGTCTAGAGTCTTCAACAGGCAAAAATGACAGAGGTCAGCTGAGTTGTGTCCTTTGTTTGTGAACTGCTAAAAAGAAAGACGGTGTGTTGTTGTCTTTTTATCACTTCTGGTTAGGTTTGAGCTACAAGGCTTGCTGGGAGATATAGTTACAGTGGCAGCCATTCAAAATGGCCCTTCCCTGTCAAAAGCCAGCCGAATGGCAAGCCACTTCCCACCAACTCCCAGCGAAATCCCCTCCAACTTTCAGCCACTGGAGTGATCCCCTCTTGCATACTTTTTTTAGTCTGACTTTTTTTAGTCTATACCCGGAGCTCACATCTCTCCAAAAAGGTGTGAATGAGAGCGTCACAGACTATATCATCCATGCAGAGACTGCTATTACAGTGCTACATAATGCAGGAGAGACTTTGAGTGATGGCTTGTTGACTGCAATGGTTTTAAAAGGCCTGCCTGACATATAAACAATTTTCTGTACATGTTACGCAGTTTGATGAAAAGTTTATTTTTCCTGAGTTTAAAACTAAACTGAGGAGCTATGAAAGCACAGAAAGGTTTGGTTTCCACAACCAAAACTGTATGAGAAAAAAACAGTCCCACCTGAAGTGAAAGTAGAGATGTGTGAGACAAACCTAGAATTTGACAGTGAGAGCAATGCTTGTTATCCAAAGAGAGAGAGTGACTTGTGATGGACTCTTTAATAGAGAATTATACTTTTACATAAACAGCCTTACCAGAGGTTAAACATGCAGTGGGGGGTAGATGGGTTTATGCTGTTAAAGGAATTCCAGTGGAAACTATTTACAAAGCCACATATGTAGCAAAAGGTTATAGTCAAGTGGCTGGTTTAGAGTATAATTAAACTTTTTCACCTACAGCTGATATGAGCTCGGTTTGTTTTTTGATGGAGCTTGTAGTTCAGTACAGTTTGGGGATACAAAAGCATATCTCCAATCTAAGAAAGGAGAAAAACTGGTGGGTAAACTGAATAAGTCACTATATGGTTTGAAGTAGTGGTTACTGGAATAAGATGCTATATTATTTTCTTATTGAAAACTGGTGTTTTTCAGAATACTGCAGACTATTGTGCTTATTGTAAGACAGTTGGAAATTAAACAATCATGTTGATTATTTGGACTCATGATCTTCATGCAGGGATTGATGTTAATATGCTCAGTGAAGTGAAGGAAATTTTGGGAACCAAATTCAAAATTAAAGATCTTTGGAGATTATTTCCTTGGCATTGATTTTGTCCAGACAAAAGGGGAAGTCAAATTGATTCAAAAGATATATATCACAAAAATTCTTGAAAGATTTGACATGACTCACTGCAAACCATGAACAACACCGTTTGAAATGGAAATGACATTTGACAATAAGGGTGCACCTGCTGAGCCTAATAAATATCCTGAAGTGGTTGGAAGTTTGCTTTATGTAATGACCTCTACTAGACCAGATTTAAGTTTTGTTGTTGGTAAATTATGTCAATACTTGTCTGAAACAAAAAAAAAAAAAACATTGGGTGGCAGCTGAACATGTTTCAAGGTATTTGAAATGCACTGTGGATCAGGGGTTGTGTTTTAAAAATCAAAATGTGGACTTGAAGCTTGTGGTCTATAGTGATGCAGACTGGGCATCTCACCAGAATGACAGGTGCATGTTTCTGGTTACTGCTTTAGTTTGTCTGAGACTGGGCCTGTTGTTTCATGGAAATATAAGAAACAGCCTACAGTTGCTTTATCGACACGTGAAGCCGAATACATGGCTCTAGCTGCTACAACTCAGGACAGCATGTATCTTGTGAATCTACTGAAAAGAAATGAACACTTTGAACTTTACACCTGTGAATATTTTTGAGGACAACCGGGGTGCTATTGCCCTATCCAAAAACCCTATATCTCATCAGCGGTGTAAGCACATTCACATAAGGTACCATTTTGTCAGCTCTTTTGTATCTCACGGAAAGATTGTTCTTCATTACTGTCCCACGGAAGATACGTTGTTTTCACTAAACCTATAGCAAAAGTCAGGATGGACAAATTTAGATGTTTCCTATTTGGCATGTAAATCACTTTTGTGAAATGAAGGTGACTTTACAGTGTATGTAATTTTTTTTTTCAATCTGGTAACAAGTGGAGCTGTTGACATCTGTGTCCCTAATTGACCCTGGTATCCACTTTTGGTGTGGGTGTGGCTACACAACGGAGTGCAATCATCAATAAATGGTGGCAGCTCATTCAGAAAAATGATCGCATTCAGGCCAAACAAAAATCCATCTCTCTGTGTATTATCTTGCCTCTGTCTTAACTCGGTTGATTAGCTCTTGTGGCGATGGCTGTGCCCAAAAGTGACTAGGGTAGTTTACTTGTTTATATTGCTTATGATACACTTCATTTTGTCAAATGGACTTCCTACATAATGTGGGCCTGTGATAACTAAAATTAGACCTAAAACATCTGCGGGCAGCAGTACCCTGGCAGCAGGACTAATTGTATAAGCCTTCACTAATTGCATTATTTGCAGGATGATTTTGTTTTGCTTTTCAGACAGAGATGTCTTTAGGCATCCCTGATTCTATGGGTTTATTTTTCCAGGGAAAATGTGTCACCGTCATGAACGTTACACAAGACTGAGGATTGCTAAGCTTTTAAATGTCAGTTCAACTGTTGCTAATGCCATTCATCCGGCTTCTGTTCATATGCAAAGTAACAATAATCTATTTCTGTGAGTCATTTGTTGTTGGATTTTACAAATGAAGCTGTTTTCAGCACAGGTCAATAATGAACACATGAAAATGCAGGACCCTGTGTTCTACAGAGCACGAGGAAGGGTGGCATGATTTTAGCCCACATCGGTCATCCACCCACAGGGTCATCAGCTTTGCATCATGAACAGCCAGTGACCTCTCCTCCACAAAACACACATATCTCTCTAAAATCCTCTGGTTCAATCAGACCAGAGAATGGAAAACTAATGGTGCGGAAAAAAGCTACAGCTTCATCCGTGACTGGATCTACATGCCGGAACAGATGCTGTTGGGAGAAACACTGTAGAATATAATAAATTCCTTTTCAGCATGGTTGCCTCCAGTAAAGCTGTTCATTCAGCTTTGACCGGCTTTGACAGAAAAGATTTCCCTCAAGGTTAACTGAATGTTTTTCATTACATAAGGAGTCAAAGCCCCTTCCCCTCACCATCATTGGTGAAACATTAAAGTTAGGGAAGAGAAAAAAATAAAGCTTTTGTTAGTGACATTAAAGGTTCTGAATTGAAAAACAAAACATTTAACAAAAAATAAAGAGCAGGTTTAACATTTTTAAGTTTTATATAGCATGTACTTAAATTCAAATAATGTTCAGATAGAGATAAATAAGACAGACAGACACACTATACATACCTTTCATACTGGTCTGTATCTAATGAGCTTTGCTTAAATGCAGAATAAAAAATAAATTAGTGTAACATATTTACCTTTTTTAGCAATGGAGAACGATTCTAAACAGAGCTGTTTAAAAGGACAATGGGGCACATCTCATAGGTGTTCCCCCTGAACAGCTACAGAGCAGGTAGGATGGTCTTGTGAATGTGCAGTAATTTAAAAATAACTGCACACTTGGGCTTTTCTTACCTATATTTCGACAAAAATTGGCCCATATACCACTGAGTACAGTTGAAACTACAAGTTAATTTTGTTACATTTGCAAGATATGAAAGAGGTTTTGTTACATTTGCAAGATATGAAAGAGGTAAAGTTTAAAGTGTATTTCAAAATTTAAAATCTGTTTATTTGCTTTAATTTGGAATACCTAAATTCTGGCCTGCATTTTTTTATAGCCACAAAGCTCTGCAGGATTTGAAAGAGCTAAAGCTGCTACAGATGATTATACACAATATAATTCTCTGCAGAATAAACTCATAGAGTAAAATCAGTTCTGAAAGAGTACTTTACCAGTAAGCTCTGAAAGAGCGCTGTGCCCTGCCAGGTGTTTTCTGTAGAGGGTCTTCAGCACTTTCGCACTGCCAAACCTTTTAAAGCGTTTCTTGACATTTGTGTAGAACCAGTCGAGTGACTGCCTCTTCAACAATCTGAGAGACAGAGATTAATTTAATCTTCAAATTTACCTAATCTAAAACCTGTTTCTTACTTTACAGTAATGGTGGTATGTGGGTAATGGTGCTCACATGATAACAAGCAAGTCTGTAAAACACAGGGCAGACTTTCTTACAATTATATAATCTTCTAAATTGTTTTTCTTAGCCCCTTATAAAAATCGACAATCAAACAACATACACAAAAAAATAATGATCAGAGAAAACAGATGTTCAGACTAGTATAATATCAAAATACACAAAAGTTGAGTTAAAAGCAAGCAGCAGCTAAATGGAGGTATACAACAAATAAAAGCATCAAATATGTATTTACAATGTGGCAATCTAAGTGTTTGAGTGTTAAAATGAGGCAAAGTTTCCAAATCTGGCTGAGGACTAAGCTTCTTTTACATAAACTTATCGAGGGTAGATATACTGAGGTAACATGTATCCACATAACTTATGATAGAGAAAAATATGTCCTTTTCTTCAGACCTGTTACAAACAAACAAAGTTATCCTGTCATTCTATCCTCAAGAATTAAATATTAAAAAGATATTGAAATGCTCCAAATCAGACATATATGAGAAAATCTTTAAACAAAAATTAAGATTTTTTCAAACCAAATCCAATTAATTGACCCCCTGCCCCCTTTGGTTTGATAAAAACAAACTACAAATTACTAATTTATTAAAAAACACAATATATTTCAGCTAGTGGTGTTACAAACTGAGCTAGTTTATCAGTTATGAACATATCTAATGACAAAAAGTGACTGGCTGATGTCTCTTTGAACTTAAGAAGCCAAAGGAGTGCGTGGTGGGATTTTCCAAAAGATAAATCTTCATAAACCACCAATCCTATTGATCTATAAAATTCATTTACCGCCCAGCCTTAATATGGACTAATTTTATTCATTGCAGTTGTCAATAAATTTACAAACAAAAACTCTTAAATATAGATTATTGTTGAAATAACAACTTTGTTAATATATTCAATTTAGTCAATAAATCATTTCAAAACTGTATATGGCTCTATTGTAATATTTCACATGTTGAAAGAAAAAGTGAACTGTCCAAATAATTGAACTGTCCAAAATGATCTGAAACCCTAATCCAAAGTAATTGGTGACTAATTTTTATGGCACTTACACTGGAGAAAAAGTAGTTTTAAATATGGTGCTGCTAATAACTGAGTACATATTTTGTGGCTACTTCCATCGCTGGATACAAGACAAAATCCCGGCTTTTATTTCAATCACTACAAAGGCAGAAATGATGAAAGATTGTTTTCTAAAAAAAAATTCTTCCGATTATTTCTAATATGGAATAAAAACTTTACAAAGGTTACAATGTTTGAGGTTAACACAACTTTACTGAAGACATTGCTCAGACATCTCATTTTAAAGCAAAATCATCACCTCCATGAGTCAAAGTTAGACCCTTATAACTTTTGACATCACTGTCAGAACCTCATGTCTAATTCAACCTCCTTGTGTAACACACAGACCCGCACACGCTGACCTTACCTGCTCTTTTGGCAGGCACAGCAGAGCCAGGCTTTGCTCCGCTTGCTGTAGACCCTGCAGGCTTTGCAGACATTGTATCCGCAGTCCTTACACTGACGCTTGGGGTTGAGAAGAAAGGTGAACGGCGAGCAGCAGCGGATGCAGCAGCGCTGGTTGAAGCAAGTTTGCCTTGACAACAAGAGGCAACGATTACCCTCCTCATCCAGCTCCTGCTTCAGTTCGCTGTGGGGAGTAGAGGATGGAGAAAGAGGAAGGGGGAGAGGAGGGTTAGAGGCAGAGAGAGAGAATATCCAATACAGATGTCTATCCGTGAGAGCATGAAGGATAAATTTGTTGTTTTTTTGGGTGAGGGCAACAATCAAAGGTTTTCCAATTTAATAGATTGATTCCACATAACTTCAAATTGACTCTCTGCTTCTGATTGAATAAAATAAATAAAATCTGAGTTTTTGTTAAACAGTAATGCTTTCCATTTATATTTGTGACATTTAAGACACCTTTACTGAAACCATGTAAAAAAAAAAAACATAAATACTGAGGCGTTTCAACACCTCATTACTCATTATTTTTAGTGTGAATGTTGTGGTTTTACTCGACTGGGATCATTTTGTGTAAATGACTCAAGAAACCAGGTAAGGAGAAAAATAATCAGAAAAGCTGTAAAGTAAGCCTTGGATATGCTGCAGAAGCTCAAACATCCAACTAAGGTAGAGGAATCTGAGGGAACAATCACAGGCAATCGTACACCACATCATCTGGCATTTATGGAAAAAATGTGACAGTGTGGTCCAGTCACTGTGCTCCAGACTGATAATGCATCCTGGCTACTTGGCCACAGGGATATCCCTATGGCTGACTAATATGGATGCCCTCAGTTAAGTACATAAGGAAACTTAGGGGCTATGATAGTCTTGAGACTGGAACAGAGGTTTACCTTTCTTAAAGAAAGCAATGCTTAAAATGTACTCAGAGCTGCAGTGGCATGTCTCATGCAAAGCAAATTAAAGTGTTAAAATTGCAAAAGTCCCTGGTTAATTAGAACTGAGAACTTAACTTTCAATTCTATTTATCCAGAGAACAGCTGATGCTTTTAATCCAATTTGGTGAAGCTCAAGGGCGGATTTAGAAAAATTGGGGCCCTATGCAAAGACTGCCATTGCACAATGGTGAGCATGTAAGTAAAAACGTTCCAAAGAAAATGTTAAACAGCAGCAGAGGTAGCCAAAATGAGGCTTCCAGCTCATGGAAAAATGCACCAGATGAGCATGAGAAATAATGGCTGACTCCAATAATCTGACGTAAGTCACACCAAAAGGAAGGGTGTTAAAGAAATTAGAACGACAGGAGCTCCAATCATTTATGGCTGATTACAGCTGAATAATAATGAGCCACACTAGATGAGGGGCTAGGGAAAAAAACAAGTCAATGACGATGATTATAATTAGCTGTTTCCAGTTTAAACTGGATCAGCTTCACTTGTTTCTAAAAATCTCTTTCTTTTAAGATAGTTTAAGGTAAGCAAAGTTTATTTATTAACATATTGTTGCTACAAGCTGATTGAAATTGTTTTATACACACAAGATACACAGTGGAAAGAACATTACAGAGGTCAGTAAAGAAAAACTAGACAACATAAAATACTAATACGGTAGTATTAACAGTTTAAATAACATACTCAAAGAAATTTCTAAACAAATAGGGGTTTAATCTTAATTTAAATCACCTTAGGGTTTCAGGACCTTTAGTCTCCTCTGAGTTTGTTCCAGATTAAAGGGGCATACAAACTAAAAGCTTCATCTCTTTGTTTGGTTCTCGGTATTTAGACTAAACATGGGCAAGAAAACCTTAGAGGTCTGTAATGTACTTTGGTGCAAAGAAATTTAGTGATTTTAAAGCTAACAGGAGTATTTTAAAGTCCATTCTCTGAGATATGGGGAGATATGGGGAGCCTGTAAAGACATCCACTGGGGAAATGTGCTCCAGTTGCTCTGTTTAAGTGAGGACCCATTCAGCAGCATTCTGGATCTGTCTGATTGACTTTTAAGACAGGCCTGAGAAGACATCATTGCAGTGACCAGTTCTACTGGAGGAATGCATGAATTACATATCCAGTGTCATACAGCCTTAAGCCTCATTCAGTAAAAACAGCAAGTGACCTGTGTTGAACATTTCATTCAAAAACAAACATAAGGCCAAATGACCAGGGTAATATTATAATACACTACTATATAGAATTTCAAGAAACTTCTTAAAAAGTTTAGATTGTAGATTTTTTCTTTGCATTTTCTGTCTGTATGCGTGCAAACTGCAGTTCCATTGATGTCTGCAAAAACTCTTGTGCTCTCTGAGAGGGCTGCAGTTTTCAGCCCTTGTCTTTTTACATGCAGTAAGGTCCAGCTGCAGATCACGCGGCTTGAGTGATAGTAAAATAGAGTTTCCATTGAAGTTTTGCAATATATATAAGAATTTCGATACAACCCAACAAGTACTACTGCCTTGCAAGTTTTACATGTACAACCTCAGCTGTCTCCAAGTTCTGCAGAAGTCTGTTTTTCACTGATTCATACAAGTCAGTTGTGCGGAAGAAAAACATGTAGGACAGTCGTGCTTTAGGAGCAGGACTGGGAGGTACTGGTCTAAGTCAGGTCCCTGGTCTTTGTTCTAGTCTATTGTTTTTCAAGTTTGTTTATACTTTTGTGAATGTAAAAAGGTTATTTAAATGTGGAATTACTTCACATTGTTCTGTTGCTGCTGTTCTGACTGCTGAACAATATCAAATATCATTTTACAGTTTATGGCTGTTGTTGCAAAACAGGTGTATATACATGATGTTTAAATTGTACCTGTAAAAACCTTTCTTATATTACTAAGACAGCCTGTGATTCCATGTGCTGTATAAGGTGCCTTTGTTTCCATTTGAGCATCTGCCCCAAAAATGTTGTGCACGTTCCTGATTATCCCCTAATCACAATAAAGACCATTGATTCTTGGTTTATCAATGCTTATTAGTTTTTGCTTATTTTTTAAACATTCAATTATATATTTCTTTTATTTTCAATTAAAACATCTTTATGCCCATATCAAATCCTTATTTACCACCTTCAACACAGGTGTCACCGTTGATCATTATGTACAATTACATAATGTACATTAATGTGTAAAATTAAAAGCCTTGCTGACTGACCCCAGTGAGATGCTACAGTGGACGTTGCATTGATTAGATCTACTACTGTTTGTCTGTGCAAACTGTTTTGTCTTTCAAATAAACACAAAATGACTGCCTTAAATTATAATATTTATCTTGCTTTCTCAAAAGTATAAAAGTATCAAAAGCTTTCTTTGGGGTCAATAAAAATGTCTCCAAAATAAAGATCTTGTCTATTGCCATAGATAGTTCTTCACCAAGACCAATCTCTATACATAAGTCTTCTGGGGTCCCTTTTCATGAAGCAGGTTTAACAAATTCAGATTCAAATCCACAACTCTAAATTGATCTTTCCTAAAGTCACAACAGCTGCTATCAATCAGTTCAATCGATTTTAACTAGGTCCAGTTTAGGCTTGTCCCGATCCGATCCACGTATCAGATCGGGACGCCGATATTGGCAAAAAAATGCGTATCGGCAAAGCATGTAAAATGCCGATCCAGACTGCCGCTCCAGTTTTTTTTTTAAAAATCCAGTCCGTATTTTCCAGTTTCGCCGATTGAAACGATCCATTCCACTATTTTGCGCCAGTGTTTCCCTGTTTTGCATTTTTATTAAAACTTACAGTAATACTTGCACCTTTAACTGTTTACGGTTTTACTGTTCACTGTGCAATTTCAGATTGCTATTCATAATTTTGCCCAGTTTGTGTTTATCTCTTAATAAACAGGTAAGTTTGTTGTTACCAATTATTGTGTTTTATTCAATCTCACCTAATTCAGCTGGCTAGATGTTATCAAGAGTACTAAAACCCTTTTCAACATGAGTCTTACAACTAAGGCTAAATACTTTAACTTAAACTTAAATACATGCTCGGATAGGCTGGTATCGGCCAGTATCGGTATCGGATCGGAAGTCCAAAAACAATATCGGTATCGGATCGGAAGTGCAAAAACCTGGATCGGGACATCTCTAGTCCAGTTAGAGTTAAGCGCGTGCGCAACAAATATGAAAAGCCATTATCAGTGGAGCACCGATTCGACGAGTCACCATGACAACAGGCAACAGGAAGTGCCTATTTCAACCAACTGGAGCTAGATATTTTAATGCAGAAATGCAAGAAAATAGTATAAAAAAGGAGAACGTCTTTAAAAGACATCAGAGCGGAGACAGCAGACACTCCGAGTTTACTGAAGAAAACCTGCTACCGACCAGGTTAGCTAAGGGGAGAATGTTACTATTGTGACTGAAACAAAGATTGAATAAACTCTCTTTGTGAACTGCAAAAGTCAGAGTTTCCCTATTTTCAGGTTTAGACAACTTAGAGTTTTCGGTAAATCTATTTCATGAGATGGACCCCTGGTTGCAATCTGCATGAGAGATAAACCATACCATGGGAACCCTTAACTTTTAACCTGTAAGTCCCTATATAACTACAAAACTTTAACAGTGTTCTCAGAAGCCTAGCTCCCACTGGAATGGCCTCAGCAGCCTGCCCATAATTGAAGCCTAATACTTTATATAAATAACCCACAGACACAATATTATCAGGCAGAGTCAGGCAAGAAAGATGGAGATGCTCGCAGCGAGACAGTGAAGGAACAAACATAGAGAGCAATAAAGGAACTTACATTAGACAGAGCAGCCACAGACACTCCAAAATGCCTAATCAACATGCAGTGCAGCTCTGTCTTCACAGGTTAAAATTATTATTTTTTTAGGCTTGAGATGTAAGAAAGAGACAGGAGGGACCTAAGGCATGCAATCTGCAACAGTCTCCAATATATCTAGTGTTTGTATGAGTGAGTACAGAAAAAGGGTCAGAGGGGAACAACTACTCACCTCAACAGCTCAACACCTGTCCATTGTGATTATTTATTTCTGTAAAAACTAATGTATAAAAAATATTCATAGAATAATTAAAGCTAAAATCTTTTGAGGTGTGTTGGTTGATGGTGCTTCTGTCAATTCAGTTAAATTGTGCTTTTTTATTATGGCAATTAACAACATGTTTCAATCAAATCCCACGGACAGATTGGTAAAAATTGTTCCATCCAAGTAAACCCAGCTGATTGCATCAAGTTAATGACTTCTCTTCCAAGAAGAGTATAAACAGCAGACATCCTCCTGCATTGCATTGCTTTAGTTTCATCCACAGATTCTTGGTTAAAGTGTAAACAGAATTAGGTTTCTCATTTGTTTTTTTTTTCTTTTGTTTTTTTTTCTTTGCAAAAGAGAGGAAACTGTTGATATTTTAAGTGAAGCTAGAGCAACTTAACAAACACTGTGAATGTGCTCATTTATTTATTTTTTCCCCCCAAAACTTTAACCTCTGTCTGAGCTTTGAGTGAGAGGGTACAATTATAAATAATTTTCCTCCTGATGCCTATAATTTATGAAATAAAGAATGAGAAAAATAACAAAATTATATAAAACATAAATTACAGGCACAATTCACAATTAAACAAACTTGAGCCAAATTCTTGACGAAGCAACTCAATTTTTAGCACATCTAATCATGGCTGGAAAATAATAAGATTAGTTGTTGTAAGCTCATTGTTCCCAGTAGCTCGACAAATAACCACTTTGTCTCAACGAATTGAGGTTCTGGGTTGCAACTATTAAAGTGCTACTGTTATAGTGGCTTTTCAAATTACAAATATCGTCATTCTAACACAAACTTCCAAGAATGAGAAGAATACGTTTTTTATGTATGTATTTCATGCTTTCATCAGCTTGATAAACAATGTGTTGCAAATTTTTTTAGTGATTAAATTCCAGATTCAAGAATCAATAGAACATTCTAGGCTTGTCCCGATCCGATCCATGTATCGGATCGGGACGGCGATATTGGCAAAAAAATGCGTATCGGCAAAGCATGTAAAATGCCGATCCAGACTGCCGATCCAGTTTTTAAAAAAAAATCTGGTCCGTATTTTCGTTTCGCCGATTGAAACGATCCATTCCACTATTTTGCGCCAGTGTTCCCCTGTTTTGCATTTTTATTAAAACTTACAGTAATATAGCACCTTTAACTATTTACGGTTTTACTGTTCACTGTGCAATATTAGATTGCTATTCGTAATTTTGTCCAGTTTGTGTTTATCTCTTAATAAACAGGTAAGTTTGTTGTTACCAAGCATTGTGTTTTATTCAATCTCACCTAATTTAGCTGGCTAGATGTTATCAAGAGTACTAAAACCCTTTTCAACATGAGTCTTACAACTAAGGCTAAATACTTTAACTTAAACTTAAATACATGCTCGGATAGGCTGGTATCGGCCAGTATCGGTATCGGATCGGAAGTCCAAAAACAATATCGGTATCTGATCGGAAGTGCAAAAACCTGGATCGGGACATCTCTAGAACATTCATCTGAACCCATGAAAAGAATGACTAAACTTCAAACAGTATTGGCTGCACCAACAACCTGGTGCATACAAACATATTTTATGAAATGATGACATAAAGGCAATGCAGCCTTAAGGCAAAGCATGAAGACCTAAGAAAACACTTGGAAAGCGCAGACGTCCACCAAGGAGCTAATTTCTCCTGACATATTGTGACTTTCACCTTAAGCTAATACCTGTATTCATTTAATCTTTAAAAAAAATTCCTGGATCCAGATGGTGATCTGGATCATCACCAAAATATAATGGACAGACAGACAGACAGACAGACAATTGTCCTGAAAACATAACCTCCTAGGCTTCAGAAACTGAAAATAATAGTGAAAAAAATCCATTTTTTTTTTGTAGGAGAAGTTTCAGGTCATTTTTATTTAAATAAAATGTTATGTAACCCCTAATAACTAATATGCAGCAGGGCTCAAAAGTTTACAATAATGACCCATTTTCCATCATAGTTTACAGAAAGGAGCAGTGCTGAAAGGGATTAGTATCACTGTGGGAAATGTTAACCATTTTTTAAAATCTTTAATTTTCTGATATTTTTTATTTGAAGCTTGGAATACTGACTTCTTTTTTTTTTTTTACATTCCGAGAAAAAAAAACCCCATACTGGTATGAGTTGCTGGCTCAGACATTCCACATGGCTACTCCCTCATTCCACATACGGTGCTTTTAGTTGGGACCATTAGTACGTATCCAAACCTACCACTCTTGATAAACAAAAATTAATAACCCTTATCTCTTGTCACCCGTTGGCAGAAAAAATCCCAGCCAATTCATTATTTATATTAGAAAGAGGGGGGACACTTCTTGTTGTCTAATTTTCCTGTTTTTTTTTTACTTTACTAAGATTTCATTTCCAATAGTTTTATAAGCATGTATCTTTATTTTAAAAGTATATAAAAAAAATAAAAGCAAACTTTAAAGCTAACAAAATGCTTGCAAACACACCAAACAATCAATTATTATACTATTGTATAGTTCAAGGAAGAGCCTTTAGCAAGATAAAAAAAGCTAAATGTTTTGAAAAATACCTGGACTCTGAAGGGCTTTGCTTAAACCTTTTCTGCTGTTGTATAAATTATAATCTTGTGCATTAAGCATATTGTTTAAAGACACAATACTTTCTATTTAGTCAAAAAAAGAAAAAAATATATCATTTTTTTAACCTGATAGACAAAACCTTTCAATTTAAGGCCATTTTTTGTTAAAACTTGATGGAAATAACCGCATTAGGCTTATTATGTTTCTGCACTGGCTTATAATTGGGCCCACTGAGCACAGAGTATTTTATGTTTTCTAAATAAAGAAAGAGAAATATATTTTTATTAAAAAGAACTTACTGCAAAAGGTAATGCTTTATGTCAATAAACAAATTGTTTCTTATAACTGCTAGTCACAAATAAAATTTTACACCACAGCCTTCAAAAACCAGACTCAACAGGAAGGCCTTTCACTTCCTGCTCCCTGCTTTTAGAACACAGCTTGTAGACAAAACACAGCAAAGGAAAGCTCCCCCATAGTCAAAACATGCTCAGAGCGCAAACAGAACTACACCTCAAAGGGACCATTGAGAGTTTTGTGAACAGGGCTTATTTAATACAAAGGTTAATATGTTTGTTTTTTATTTAGTTGATAAGAACTAAATGACTCTGAGGCTGCAACAAAGTGTTTGCTTGGGTTATTAAGGTAATAAAGAAAGAAGTGATTGAAGAAAACATGAATGTGTTCAATGAATGACGTTCACTGCATACATTAATATTTTAGTGAATGGTGTACTGAAGGGATCAGTTTTGAAGTAATACATGTAAATGAGAACCACATTCACTATGAGAAGAACTTGCCTTGATTTATCAAATTTATTTAAAATAGTTAAATTATAGGTTTGTGAACTTCATTTTTTGAAAACGTTAACTGTAAGGATGAGCTAGTTCATTTTCATGTGTGTGAACTAAACCTTGAGCTCAATCTTTTTAGTTGAACTGGCACAACATTGGCCAGGAAACCAAAACTTGCATCAGTAAAATTGGTGATTCGAATGATTAACAGTTCTTCTATTGTGGCTCCATTACAATTGGACAAAGCTGAAACATTTTTTTTTGCACAAATTAAAATTCTGAAAATAGCTCCACATAACAGAAGTTTTGCACCTCTATGGGGAGATTATTACAGGCATGATGAACACTGAAAGACAGAACTGACCTTAGTCTCTCATCCTCCTTCTTGCGTAGCCTCATATCTCTCTGCACTACCTGCAACACATGCGCTGCCTCGTCATCATTAAGACTCGTTAGATCCAGTTTCCGACCCATCTTCAACAGCCACTATTTGTAACTTCACTTCTCCATCAAATTTATTAGTCTGTTTCTTTCATCTGTAAAGAAAATTTTGGAATTTATCAGCAGAAAACAATTAAGCTGTAAAAAACAAAAATACAACTTTGGGTAAAGCATCATGGTGAATGGCAAGCAACTAAATGCTCCTCAATGCTAACATATTTATTCCCCTATCATTTCTATTAACTGTCCCAATAAAGAAAAAAAAAGACTAATAAAAAATGTGTCAACTCTTTTAAGCTTTTCAAATAGAATATTAAATATATTAAATATTAAATAAAAATGCAACATTTTTCACACTTTTGAAAATTGATGCATGGGGTGAAACATTTTAAAAATTCTCCATTGTAATTTCCACTTTTTAATTTTTTATTTTTATTGAATTATGTCTCTCACAGTGCACATGCACCTAAGATGTAAATTGTTGTAAGAGGGAGAATTTGCAAAATCACAAAGTGTTGAATTACTTATCTTTCATAACTGTATTTCAATACCAGAAATAAAGTTGGAAATTAATAAACCAGAAATAAATATTATAAAAAAAATAATATCAGATTTTTCCTGCTTGACAACAGCCATCCATATTCTAACCAATCACAAAATTGTTCTCTGATGCGTTGGGAAAAGCTTCTTCCCGGATATTGTGTCAAGAGCCCAAAATGCCGCAATTTTGTTCTTATGGCTGCGAGAGATGAGAAAACTTCTCTCCCTCTCACAATGTTTATAGCGTACTTTATGGTTATAATTGTTGCCAAAAGTAGCTTAACCGGGTATTACATCTTCTAGGTGAAAATACACTGTAGTTTTCAGATTAACTTTTTCAAAATTTGAAAACCAAATAGGATTTTTTTCATACACTTGACAATTATGTGTTACTTCATGTTGGTTTATCACATAAAAACCAAGCATAGTGCTATGAAGTTTAAGGTTCCGATGTAAAAATAAAAATAATAAAATGCAATGCTTTGCAAGCTAACACAGAAATTATACATTTATCAACCTAAATTTTAAAAGCCTGTATGTTTACCATTTTAGATCTGAATATTGTGCAAATTCTAGTTCTAAGACCTAGGACAATAAGAAATATTAGAAATAGCTGTGTAGATATAGATTTTATGAAATTTCAACTTTGATTTAAAGTAGCTATCAATACGCCGGATAGCACATATTTACCAGATTTACATTTACCTTTGATGCTTTCAATATATTTTAGGCTGTTATCATAAACTATTAGGTACATGGAGCTGTACAACCCTTGACTCTTCACATAGCATGCGACTTGATAGTTCATTAAAATAGACCAATACATTTCAACTGATTAAAGTCTATCCGAAACATTTTTTATTTCAATAATTCAGCCCAAAAGAGTCAAAATTATTTTTTTGCATACAATTCTCCTATTATTACACTAGGATTTTGAGATTGTAGTTTACAACTCATGACTTTCCAACAATGTCTTTAAACCTTCAGCATTATATTAGAAAAATATACATTCTAAAAATAAAAATAAAGTTGTGTTACTCAGGGGCGGAGCTAGATGGGGGGCCGGGGGTGGCCATGGCCATCATTCGCCACCCCTACCATTTTCTCCCTCTAACACAGATGGTGGCAGCAGGAATACTCTCAAGTGGAATATTTAAAACATTTATATTTCTTGTGGTTAATTATACACATCAAAATACTAACATCAAAGATGATAAATACAGAATTCATGCTCTTTTCAGAACTAGATTTTGTGCTATATAAATGTATGTAAAGAGAAAATGTGTCTCTGCAAGTCATCTGGGAGTCTTCAGTGAAATCATAGATAAATAACTATTCTAATAAAAACGTAGGAAATAATCAGTTTGTTTATCAGTGTTTGTAAATATCAATTTTTATGCAGAATGTTTATTGATACAAGCAGGTAAGTAATGATCTAAAAACTAAAAGAATTTTATCCACTTTATCTTTTATTTAGAAAGCACAGATGTTTAAATATATGTGTCTAATTGTTAGCAAAGGCTATAGGAAAGTATAGTTTGTCTTTATTTAGAAAATATGGATGTTTTTCTCGCTAATTTTACTGTAGGTTGACCCTGAGATTCTGCAGGCTATCCGCTTTCAGCCACCCCTCAGTGTACATTGGTTACCGCCTGGCCACCCTAATAAAAAAGTTCTGGCTACACCTCTGGTGTTACTCTTATGTTGTTCTCTGTTTTTTGTTTGTTTTTGAAAGCCATCACATATATGGGCTGCAAAGTCTGTAACATCCCTGAAATATTTGCTAATACATCCCAAGCCACATTTTTGCAGGAATTTTGCAAAGATCCCCAATCCTACTCTGGGCTTATATAATACTATTACTACACATATGCTGCTATTTAGAAATAGAAAATTATGGAATTAATATTCTATTTTGTTTAGGCTTGTTATTCTAATACAGGAAAAAAACTTTACGCTTTACACTATTTTAACTAAAAAAAAATATATCCATTTAAGTTAAATAATACAATGATAACTTATGTAATTAGAACCCTTTCTAGATTTAATAATCAGTAAATTGTTGACATTCCTGACCAAATACAATATTTGGTTCATTTCAGATATTTTTCTTTCTTTTTTCTATAGTCTAAATGATGTGATATAAATGATGCAGGTTTTGCCCTTAGTGAATATTTTAACAGCCATGAAAAACTTACCGATTTCCTGAGCGATTATTGAGCCTCTTCACGACAGTAAAAGAGAAAAGCCCGCTTAGTTAAGCAGTTGACTAGAGAAAAATGCGCGAATATAGATTTATGACATAGAAATTAGAAAAACTGAACTAGATAAAAAGTTGAATCAAAGAGAGGGCTGGCGGTTGAGGCGCTGCAGCACCGATTAGAGTAGCTCTGAGAGGAAATCAGGATAAACCCAGATTAGTTTCCACTTCCAGCATTTCTCTGAGGGTTTTGTGGGGGCTGGGGGGTAATTTACTGATTTACGGTTTTTAAAGGAACGACGAACAGAAACATGAAGGTTTAAACAATATATTTGCTGTTGGAAGCGTCAGATTTTCTTATTGTCATTGTTTTTCCATTTTTAGCATTTTTCTGGTCCCTCCGTTTCAGTTAGATTCTGTGAATGGTCCAGACAGATAAACAGTTAAACTGAAATCAAAAATGTCGCGCATAAAATAGAGGATATCAAAAAAAAAAAAGACGCAGTGGTTAAATGGTGACATCTAGTGACCAAATGGAGAACTGCAGTTTGGTCCTTTAAAAATCCCCTTACATAAAAGGCCTTATCTCCTAAGAATTTTTTCTGTGACGTCAATTTTATTTAAGGTTGATGATCCATGTTCCTTTTTGATCAACAACATGAAAGACCTGTTTTCACTGGCTTTGAACTCAGTTTGAGGAGACTCTTTTATCATTCTTTTTCTAATTTTTAACTAGCATTACTCCCTGAGGATTTTTTATTTTGTATATAGGCCTATATACATATCTATTGTTGCACTTTGGACAAACACACCTGTATTAAATGTGGTATATAATTAAAACAGACATTGACATAATAAAATATACTTTTAATATATTCTGTACTGTTAGTATAGCCAGAAACTGATAAACTTTACACCCACTTTTAGTATTTCCTGTAATGTCAGTTATTGATAATACACAATGCGGCCTCACTTTTAATATCTCATTTATCAGTTACTTCTTATGTTGATCTATTAAATATAATGTAAAATATATTTTTTTCTATAATAGAGAAAATATTTCTTACTCGGGTATAATATGTAAAAAAATAATTTATGTGGTGTAGCCAATGTTTTAAGAATTAGTTAAATGTCTTTATAAACATTTTGTAACAGTCCTCAAGCCTGTGTATGACTTTCACAAAAGACGAAAAATATCTTATTGCCTTGCTCCATCTCGAAGAATAGTGTGTCATAAAAGCAGGCCCTTTATGGCATCACACAGGGAAATAACCTCTCTCCACAGCTATGGGAGCCAACAAATACATGTATACGTGCAAGTTAAAATTATGGTCAACAACACACAATGGAATTAATTCACAATAATGTTATAATGATCAAAATGCAAGAATTTATTAACAAAAATAATTCAACTCCTAGTCAAACACATTTCAGTTAAAATGATAGACTAAAGTGAAACTAAGAAAAAGCTAGGCTAGTATTTACAAAGATAAAAGAAGTTAAAATTGTTGAAAACCATAATAAAAAAAATTAAGAAAAAAACAATCATACAATGCTAGCAGCGTTTGTCATTGATTTTATGCTTGAGAACCAAAGTTTATGTTGAAGAGGTTGAATTAAGGTCAAATTAGCTTATGAACTAGTTTAGAGCAATTGTCAAACCAATTTAGAATGCAAATCCAAGGAGGAACATAAAACATAATTTGGTCAAATAATGTTTATTCAATAATTAGCTTATTTGGAATTAAATAACATTTTACTTAATTGAATGTTAACCTTCTTTGATAATCTCTTGGCTAATAGTTAAAGCTAAAGCTCATCTAATTTCTCCAGGCTTGACATTAAACAATTGTAGCTAGCAGACACAAGGGAAATAATACCAAAAAACTATTTTGGTCATATTTTGGAGACTGAATATAATGAGCACATTTGGAAGCATAAATGTTTTTATTAAATTTATTTTTAAACCTATAGTGAAATAATGATTGTTTTAGCTATATAAACAGCTCAACAGCTCATTGTAGCATGGGATTCTGTGCTTGTTTGTTTTCTTTACACTACATTAAACACATAACATGATCACGTAAACCCCAAAATGTTAAGCTGGAAACTCTCTCTAATTTTGCCAGACCTGCAACCTCTGTTGATCTCCAATTTAGAAAGGCAAGGCTTCTCCTGTTTTCAGCAACTTATCATGTCAGGCCTGTTACAGGGAAGTTAATTTTCTTTCCTCTAGGTTGAAAGCCAATATAACCCTTTTTTCTCAATTAATCAAAGATGGAAAGCAGGTTGTAGAAGTGCAAAACATTATGCAATTCCAGGAGAATGGATACGAAATAAAAATGGATTGAAAAACGTTCCAAAAAAAAACAAAATATTTTTTTAAGCTCAATATAACATCAGGTATTTTTTTAACAACAGTGCTTTTTGTAGCAACTAAATACTTAATACAACCACTACCTCGGATAATTGTAAAGAGAGAATAAAGGTTGCACCATAAACTCCTCCATTTGGTAGATATGAAGGTTTTTGTCTGAGAATTCTTGCTAGGTAGAAACATTTAAGCCTGATGCTCCAGGGCCGTAGGCTGCACTCAAATTGCAGTGGATTTTTGCATTAAGGAGATAATCTGTGAGCGCATGTTAGAAGGTTATTGAATGCAAAGCAAGTACAAAGAAAAGAAAAACAGGCTAGTTATTTAATAAAATAGACAGTCCCACTTTCAGCCATCAATTCTGTGTTAATGAAATCTACCTTGTTTATTGATTTTTTACACTAAAGATAAAATATTTGTTAAGGCACATTAAATCACATCACTGTAGAAGTATTCAGGTTGCTGTTTTACGTTCAATTCTACATAACGATATCACTGACTAAAGCTCAAAGAGCCTGTTATCTGTAACTGTACATTAACACATTACTGTAAACTTTACCCCCGACTATCTAAAGTCAACCCCTTTGTTACCTTGTTAAGCTTAAAAGTATCTGAAAAGGAAGTATGACTTTATCAGTACAGCAGTTGAACATTGAAAATCAAAAAGTGCTTACACGGGCACTCCTTGCAGTGTGTCTATAAATACCCCAGCTTCAACTGACAGCAACACAGAATAGTTTCTTTGACTATACTAAGAGGTAATAAGACTTACATCATATTAATGCTAAATCATTTAGACTGAAAGGGAAAACCAAGTCGGGTACTTCTATAAATCCGGTAGGAAACAAGTAAATTGGAAGATCTTATGAAAACAAACAATAATATTCCCTTATGTCTATTCTATGCTCTAATCCGTTGTTTTCTTTCCAGAAAACTATTTCACAGGACAATATTCTCCTTTTGGGTTTAAAATCGGTGAGTGCCTGCATAGTGTGACTTTGATCTCTTTGCAACCTAACTACATTTTCTATAAGAAAAAAGAAAATCTTGAAAATATGTGTGTTATGGAAAAAGCATATTTTGATGACTATCATACAAAAATAGGATATTGTCAGTTTTAAGTATTTTTAAAGACATTTTAAGATAAATATTCAAATTAATATGATACTTAAAATATGAAACTGATACTGTTAGATTATCTAACAGTATCAGTTTCATATTTTAAGTATCATATTACTTAAAATATATGTGTCAATACTCTGGGGACTATTGGCACATATTATATTTTGTATTTTTGTGTGTTGGGAGCTTAGTATGGTGGGTTTGGATGGTTTGCAGCATCAGGAGAAGATGTTGCCTTCAAAGATATTAATATTTCTTGTGTAATTGATTTAAATGAGTTAAATTAATTGCGTAGCAGGCTATATTAAAGTTCAGCAAAAAATTAGGCAGGTCATAACAATTTTAAATACACAAGTTAGCATAATTCATACTTTTACATCAACTAAAGAGTTTAAGTTATGCTTTTGTTTGCTAAACTTTGAATTCTATGTTATTCTAACTTGGAATCCTGAATTTTCCAACTTATGTGAAAATAGTGGTGACTAGAAAATGTATAAATAAACAACAAATCCTGAACTTCTTACCTAAGAATCATAGTTTTAAGTACAGTACAATGTTATTTCAATTGGCAGCAATTTGCATTTGTAAAAATTTAAACTTAAAGGACTACTCAGCCTCTGTGATGCTCTGACACTCATATTTAACTCAGATGCAGTCAATTTCTTCTGATCCTCCTTGAGATGGTTCTGCTCCTTCATTGGAGTCGAGCTGTGTTTAATTAATCTGATTGGACTTGATTAAGAAAGGAATACATCTGTCTATAAAAGACCTTACAGCTCAAAGTGTATATCAGAGCAAACTAGAAACATGAGGTGGAAGGAACTGCCCAAAGAGATCAGAGACAGAATTAGGGAAAGACACAGATCTGGCCAAGGTTACAAAATAATTTGAGACCTCAACGCTACCTAGACCTGGCCGTTCAGCCAAACTGACCAATCGTGAGAGAAGAGCCTTGGTGAGAGAGGTAACAAAGAACCAAAGGTCACTGTGACTCAGCTCCAGTGATGCAGTAGGGAGATGGGAGAAAGTTCCACAAAGTCAATAATTACTGCAGTCGGGGCTTTATATCAGAGTGGCCCAACGGAAAGCTCTCCTCAAGACATGAAAGCCTGCATAGTTTGCCAAAAAACACATGAAGGACTCCCAGTTAATGAAAAATAAGATTCTCTGGTCTGATGAGACCAAGATTTAACTTTTTGTAATTAATTCTAAGAGGTATGTGTGGAGAAAACCAGGCACTGCTAGTCACCTGCCCAATACAATCCCAACAGTGAAACATGGTGGTGGCAGCATCATGCAATGAGGGTGTTTTTCAGCTGCAGGATGGCAGGTTGCAATTGAAATACAGATGAATGCGGCCAAGTACAAATATATCCTGAAAGAAAACCTCTTCCAGAGAGCTCAGAACCTCCGACTGGGGCAAAGGTTCATCTTCCAAAAAGCCAATGACCCTCAGCACACAGCTAAAATAACAGAGGAGTTGCTTAGGAACAACTCTGTGACCATTCTTGACTGGCCTCTTACAGCCAGAGCCCTGACCTAAACCAAAATGAGCATCTCTGGAGAGAGCTGAAAATGGCCATCCACCAACGCTCACCATCCAAGCTGACAGAACTGGAAAGGATCTGCAAGGGAAAATGACTGAGGATCCCAAAATCCAGGTGTTAAGAAACTGTTGCATCATTCCCAACAAGAGTCATGAATGTACTAGCTAAAAAGGGTGCTTCTACTTAGTACTGAGCAAAGGCTCTGAATACTTATGACAATGTGATATTTCAGTTTTTGCCTTTTTAAATAAATTTGAAAACAATTCTACAATTCAGTTTTTTTTCTGTCAAGAGGGGGTGCTGAGTGTAAAGTAATGAGAAATGAAATGAATTTGATTGATTTTAGCAAATGGCTGCAATGAAACAAAGAGTGAAAATGTAAAAGGGTCTGAATTCTGTATGTATAGTTAAGCTGAAAAACATCTTTTTCGTTTCATATAACTGTAGTATCACTATTTTCAGCCTTTATACCACCCCAGAATCCAGCTGTGACCTCTGCTGTTGGAGATAAGCTCAACTCTCCTTAACTCTTCTTTCTATTCTAATATCCATACAGTATGTAAGTTCACAAGTTGGGAAACTAGGGGTAAAAATACCATGTTCATAAAATGTATTGTGTGTATTTTTAAAGCAAAATATGTTAGTATTTTGGCTAATATTTAAAATGGCCAGACAATTGGTTACCAGTATGAGCTAAGTTGAATAGAATAGACCAGAAGGGCTAAAAGTTTTAGTTGTTTATGTGACCAAATATGTTCTTTTTTTTAGATAACTTTTTGCAGGAACTTCTACCTGTCTACTTAGTGAACCAGCAAAATGGGTAACGCACCATCGGAAGCTACAATGGCCAACCTGAAATGCTGCAAATGTGCTTTTCCTTTGTCTCCGTGCACTTCCTTCGATAATTATTACCAAGATACAATTAATGGCCAGCATGTCTATGTATTCAATGGAGGGGAGTACTACAGACCTGTTGGCCATGATAACATGTATGAATGTAACTTCTGTTTCCACCGTGAAAAGATATAGGAGACAAAAAGAGGAGATGCAACAAAATGAGAGGAGAGAAGGAACAACAAATAGAGAGGAGTGGAGATCACTTAAATCACAATTACATGAAAAATCACAGAATATCAAAAGAGGTACAGTATAGGAAATTACAGAAAAGTTGAATATTAGTCAAATATGAGTTAAATAAACAATTTCTAATTGCAGATTATATCAACTGGTTGTTTTGATCCATGACAACATGAAGCAACAAGATATGATTTCTTAAAAATATATTGTGGAGAAATAATTTTTTTAAGTTCACCGTGGAGTAATATCTTGAAATATTATAAGGGATTGTTTTGGAAGGACTGGAGTTAGCCCTGTTGCCTTCCTTTCACAATGCTCCATTCCCTGTTTTAAAGGACATCATAAAAACATTTTTCTCCCAAAAATATTATAAAAATATATATTATATATAATAAAATATTATAAAATTATACAATTATGTTCAGTTTACAGTTGGTTGAATCTTCAATGTCTCTCACATTGAAGATAAATGCAGTGTTTTACATACAACACCATTACAAAGAAACTGCTCCATACTTGAATTTTGCATAAGTTTGACCTCATCTGTCTTTGTTTGATCATTCAATTTCAATCACAATTTGTCTCCCGCTTTCCCAGAAGAGAATCTCCATGAAACCTATTCTTTGATATGATATTTAATTCACATTGCTTAAGAATCTTGTGTATTATTTCATATGTGATTTTCTTAGTGAATGGATTCAAACATTTGTGTGTATTTTGTCTGTAAGGCTCTTAATTAAAAATTGTAAAGCACATGAAATGCTTTGTGATAGAACATTTCTGGTTGGTTATTAATTAAACTTTTAATACCCTTAAGCTTAACTCTTTTTTTCATGTATGTTTTATTACCCATTCTGGTACTGGTGGTAAATATGTTATTTAATTAAATATTATTTGGACTGTCGTATATTGTTTATGAACACATTGCCTAATGTCTGTGTTAGAAAAACAAATAAAAAAATAAAAACAAATAAAAGTGTGAATTGAGTTCATTCATTCAAAATATGTTTATTTCTAATGAAAGCTTATTACCAATAATTACTCAGCTCCAACTCAAACATATTTCAGTTAAAAACTCCTGGATAAAAAACAGAAAAACAAAGAGGACCGAAAAACATGGTTGACAACAATAACCAATGGGATAATGCAATGATATTACAGGTTAGCATGGATTTTATATTTGAGAACCAAAGATTACCAAGAAGGATTGAAAGGAGAAAGGGAACAACAGTGTAGAGAGGAGCCTGCATCAAATGCTGCAAAGCCTCCTACCAGAGGGCAGAAGGGAGAACATTCCATGGTGGGGGTGTGAGGGATCATTGTTATGGGCACTGGAGGCGTAGCGCTGGGATGGAATGTTTTTTATGGAGGGAGGAGGAGCCTAGATGATCTTCTCGGCTGTTCTCACCACCCTTCTCACCTTCTTCCAGTATGCGGCACTGCAGTCCACCACAAAGGGAGTAAGCTGGTCAGAACGATTTCTATGGTGCTTCTGTAGGAAGTCGGGAGGATGGGTGGGGGCATGGGCTCTCCTCCTCCTCCAAAAGAAGCACATGCGCTTTTGTGCCCTTTTGACCAGTGAGGTGGTGTTTCAGTCCAGGTGAGGGTGTCTGTGATATGCACCCCCAGGAATTTGGTGCTGCTGACCACCTCTACTGCTGAGCTGTTGATGAGCAGTGGAGCGTGGTTAGGCCGGTTCTTCCTGAAGTCAACAATGATCTCCTCAGTGATCTTCTCCACGTTCAGGATCAGGCTGTTATTTCTGCACAAGCCCACCTGTTGCTCCACAAAATCTAACCACCAGAATGATCCAATCCACTGTCTCAGTTCAACCATTAGCACGATCAACCGCCTTGTCTTTGTCTCTTCATCTGCGCTGTCAAAGTGCATCAGTACGACCACCACAATATCTCAATCATCAGTTCAGTCTTCAACTTCATTCCTCGGTCAGTCTAATCACACTTGTCAAACAATTATCTTCACTATCACTAACCATTTAATTCTCATGCACTAACCATTCCCTCCTTACTCTCAACTAATTTAGATACCTTCCTGTTCTGGATATTGGTTCCACTCTTAGCTAGTCCACGGTACCGGTACTCTTTTTTATTTTTTTTTTTTGCCTGGTAAGACTACTCTAATCTTTTTTTTTTAGGTTACTCATCCAAGAAAACATAGAACCTCAGCATTAAAGTCTTCTGTTAGTGGCATGGGCACCAAAGACCTTATTTTATTCACGTCAAATATGCATATATGTAATTCTATACTTAAACCCCAGTCAGCCTTAACAAATGGTCACTCACACTGAGGCTGGTCCTACGGAGGTTTCTTCCTGTTAAATGGGAGTTTTACTCTCCAATGTCACTATATGCATTCTCGGTGTGAGCGATTGCAGAAGACTCAAGGAGTCTGTGAAATTAGCTGGTATTCCTCAGATAGAAAACTTTTGACCAATCTGAACAGTTTGGATTAAGTTTAAGGCATAAAATAAAAGACATCTAAATAGAATGTTGAGCAGAGAAGTCTCTGATGTGGACACTGGTTCACAGTTTGGAGGACTTGTCTTGACCCATCAAGGCCAGCTCTTTGTTTCATTATGCACTTTACTATGTACTTATCGAAGCACTGCAAACATTTAAGCTTGAATTTAGAATTTAAAAACAAAAACTACATAACTAATTATCTTATTTGGGAAATATTTAAAGAGTAATGACCCAACCAGGAAAATGCCTGTAGAAACTGTGTTTGTATTGCTAAAAGTATTTGGATGTACAAAATGACATGAAATAGACTGTAAATGTTTTTGTAACATCCAATACCTTTTTTTTTATTATTGTCTTCAATGGTAAACAGAGCACTTGATTAATATGACAGATTAATGAGAATTTACTGTGGGAATTAAATGTACAAAATTTCAACATATAATTAGAGATGATGATTAGAGATGAATGTACATTGTGCCTCTCAGCTTTCTTTATATCAGACGAGTAGAAACAGGCAAAACTTCACTGAACCACAGCTGGCATATCATATAGAGGGTTTTTTGCCTAGACTTGTTTTTGTGCAAGGACATGCAAATTTCTTTCAAGGAACAGGTGCTAAAGTTCAGAAATGGGCCATTCTCTGCAAAGTTGCAAAAGACAAAGACCAATATTATTTTACCAAGATTCGAGTTCAAACCACTCATTCTGAAACATTTTTGTCAGCATGTTATTTTAATCCCCACAAATAAACAAGTTCTATACCTACAGAAGAGGATTAGGGGCACTCGAAATTAGTTTTTTATTTAATTTTAGTTTAACATGGGAAAAAGTCTGAATTCTAACTTAAATCCCATAAATCTGACTTTTTTCTCAGAATTCTAAAAAAACATTCTCAGAGAAAAAAAGTCAAAATTTACTTATATGTCCAAATCTTAAACACAAAATACAGAAAAGATCTGTTACTTACCATTATTGTAGCTGGTGTCGCCAGTTCGCTCAAGACACACATACGCACATTTGCCAGTATGTTTTCAGTCTGGCTGCACATCCTGATTCACACTCCATTCCAGTAGTTGGCGGTAATGCCCCTCCAGAAACAGAAGAAGAACAACAACTTCTACTTCAACTATAAACAACAATCGAAATCTTCTCCACGCAACATTTTAAATAATGGCATTTTAAATAATAACACCGAAGTACAGCAACAATAATCAAGCACAACTTTCTGAATGTTACGAGCGCCGCCATTTTGATTTGCTTGATTCCCTCCTTCTTTGTCTTCTTCTTCTTGGGTTTTATGGCGGTTGGCAAACAACTTTTGGTGCATTACCGCCACCAACTGCTTGATTTCCTCCTTCAATACTGGCAGTAATACCGCAAATCGTCACTAGGAGGCGAGGAGTCGAGGAACCGAGAGAGCGTGATGTGTAAACGGTCGTCAGAACCGAGCTGGGCCTGGTTAACTGATCCGAGCTCGGAGCAGTCTTGGCATGGATCAGTTTTTCAAGGGTAGTGTAAATGGGGTATAAGTCTGTCCGCTGTTGCCCCCTTGTGTTTTCTTTTCCCTTGGCTTCCTCATTAGCTCTAGTCACACCTGCTCCTTATCAGCTCATTAGTCCTGCCTTTGTTCACTCAGCCATAAATACACTCCCTCTGCAGTCCCTCTTTGCTGGTTCCTTGTCGTACTTTGTCCTATCCTGGCTCCTCATGATTGTTTCCCCTGATGTCTCCATGGTCCTGGTTTGTGTTTAATTCTTTTGTTGGTTTTTTGGATTCCTGTTTTGATTTACATTTTTAAGTTGGATTTTTTGGATTACTGTTTGGATGCCTGTCATCCTTAATTAAACCTTCAAAGATCTCACCCCTGCCTCTCAGCTTCTGCTTTTGGGTCCTCACAAAAACCTTAAAGCCAAACCTTGACACATATATTGGCAAAATCTTTAAAATGTTTGTAAAAATAATGCTTATCAGACCTACAACTCAAAAATGGTGGATATTTAAACACTGAATCCATAATGAGTTAACATCAACATTTTAACTGTGTGATGTTCAATGTTTTTGTTTTTAAATTGACATTTTTTTAAAAACATTTAACACCAGCTGGGATGTTTCATATTTATAAAATCATGTATATACTAAACTTACACCAGCCTAACCAACAACCAGTCGGTCATTATGAAGATGACTGATTTCAAGTGTTGTTGTGTTTTAATTTTTTTTTGTTTGTTTGTTTGTTTTTTCTCAGCGGACTTGAATCTTTCTCCTGTGCTTGGCCCATGTTTGTTTTGGACATAGTGCCTATAAAGAGGGCTAATAGCTCTTCATTTCCAGCTTCCACTGTCTTAGACATTGACTGAGCAGTTCGTCACTTGGAGCCATCTTCCTGATGTATTCTTGGAGCTTGAATATTTCATCTTCAATTGTCGCTTCTGCCTACTTCTTTGCACTTAGTAGATAGTCTGTGGATGCTAGATTTGAGGTCTATCCACCTTGCATGGTTGTTTAGCTTTGGTGTTGATTGCCTTGACCTTATTCTTACAATTGAGCTGACTTCTCAGAACTTGCCTTACTCATCGTAGGTACTTGGCTGTT